CTTGTGAGTCTAGGAGGACTACCAACCCGCTGTCTCCTTGCCATCTCATGTGTTCATCTTTCTGCAGACATGTTTCTCTGTTCCGCCAGCCTTGCCAGTGTGTGATCCGTTGCTGCTGCTGCTGCTGCTGGGGCTTGCCGTTAAGAGTGGTTAACGTTTGTAGCATCCTTGCAAGCATTGCTACACTCAAGCATATCCTTAGCACTCTCCTATGTTTTCTTCTTTCTGTACCCCCTTACTCGTCCTGCCTGCGCCTGTGTGCGTGTGTGCTTCTCTGTCTGTCTGTCTGCCTTCCTGCCTGTGATCACTCACAGGGATCTGAGTGAGAACTCGCTCACGGGCACCGTGCCAGCGATCATGGGCAAGCTAGCCAAGCTCCAGCAGTTGTACGCACCTCTCACCTCTCACCGACTCACACCCGACCTCCACTTGCCATACCAAACCACGGTGCCACTTAGGCACCGTTTCACTTGCATGCCACATCCCTGTTCAACCATTCTCCCATCCCCCTCACTTCACCCCTCCCTTCATCCTCCCACCCCCATTCCTTCCCCCCTCCCCCCTTTTCTCCCCCTCTTCCCTTCCCCACCCTTGCGCTACGGCCTACGCCTTGTGGGGGCAGCACTGTGAACTCCACGGGGCCATCCAAGGTGCTGTGTGCGGCAGCGGGAGTGTGTGCGGTCAACCAGGTTGCCACCTCTGCCTTCTGCCAGACGTGCGCCACCTTCTGCCAAGTCTGCACGCCCCCTGGAAGTGAGCCCTTGAAACAAGCCTGGTTTCTGGACCTTGCATGCATATGTTTTCTAATAGTTTAGTGGTGTACATACTTCCTCTCTGCGCCCACATACTTTTCCCTTTCCCACTCGTCTTTTTTGCTTTGTTCCGTTTTGTTTTCTGTATGACTTATACTGTTCCCAGCAATTCATTGTGATCTTTCCTGCATTTTCCTTGTGTGGTTGATTCCTGCAGCGAACACTAAGTCCGCCGCGGCTCCTGCTCCTGCTACTGCGCCTCCCCCCGCTACTGCGCCTCCCCCTGCCACTGCGCCCCCTCCTGCCACTGCCCCCCCCCCTGCCACGTCGCCTTCCCCTGCCATGCCCCCTGTCGTCTCCCCTGCCATGCCCCCTGTCGTCTCCCCTGCCATGCCCCCTGTTGTATCCCCTGCCATGCCCCCCCCTGTTGTATCTCCTGCCATGCCCCCTGTCTTATCTCCTGCACCATCTCCTGCAGCTCCAGTCATTCCTCCTGCTGCTTCTCCTGCCCCCGCTCCTGCCCCCGTTTCTGCCGCCCCCACTCCTGCCCCCGTTTCTGCCGCACCTACGCCTGCACCCGCCTCACCGCCTGTAATCGCTCCTGTTCCTGCTCCAACCGTCGCTCCCCCAGTCGCATCTCCCCCCGCGCCTGCTCCTCCCCCCACCACAGCTTCTCCTCCACCTGCTCCTGTCACAGCTTCCCCTCCCCCCCTCAGTGCCTCTCCTCCTCCCAAGGTTGACCCTCCTTCTGCACCTGGCGCACCTGCTGCCACGGTGCCTTCTCCTCCGCCTCCCAACGCTGGAGCTATTTATGGTGTTGGTGTTGGCACGCTGCTGGCCTCCCTGGTGTCAGCAATGGCGCTGAACATGCTGCTGTAGAAATACTACTTTGAGGTGGATTTGAGGGATAGACTGTGAATTGGGGGGCGTGGGAGTAGTGTTTGTGACTGCTTGCTACCCGCTGTCATCTTTTTCAGAGTGTTAGTATATTATCGTGGCAAGGTTGAATGATTTTATAAAATTATTATACTTACAAGATAGAACAGCAAACAAGATGGGAACAGAAAACAATGTGTACTATGTTCCACAATGTCTTCCGACAAACTCAATAATCAGGTTTCCTGAGCACGCCAGCCCAACCTGCGGCGCGTATCAACCTGCGAGACCCGCCTCGACAACATTTTGCTCGCGTGGACCCTATGGCTCCCTCACTCACTTCTCGCCCTCGCATCGCAATTCTTGCCTCCTCCCAGTTGCCCCGTGTTCCTGCAATGAATCTCCCTCTGCTGCCTGCTTCCCTCCATCCATCCAGCTTTTGTCAAATGGACAGTGCGGTGCGGTGTGACTTTCGCTCGCCACTCCTTCAATTTGTCTCCACTCCACGCCCCTGCTGTTCGCTCCCGCTTCGCTCACACCGATCTCCGACCTGATTGATTCCGTCCTCACCGCAAACGCCGCAGGCACCGCAACCACAAGGAGCACCTCATATAACACCATCGTTAGTCGAAATGGAGAAAAGCACGTTGAGAGGTTTGCATTGATGACTTTGCAAAAAAGCAGCAGAGGGATAGCAGCCATGTCGCCGTTGTCGCACTCGTTGTCGTCATCGTCGTCGTCGCAACGTTCCGTCGTCACGCCGTGGGCCGTCGCGTGCGTTCTGCTGGGGCTATTCGCGTTGGCCGCAGGGAGAAAATGGGAGCCGTCGCAAGGTATACTGTGCTGCGCAGCGCTTTACTGTGCCATGTTGTGCTATACGATGCTAGAGTACCCGGGGGAATAAAAAGTGCGACTTAGTACTTATGAGTTGAGTCAATCCGACAGCCCGTTCGCGCCGCGTGCTGCTACTACTACGACGCGCGACCGCCGACACAATCATCATGCACTAACGCAACTCTGTTTTTTCTACGGCTGTTCTTTCCCTCCCCGCCTCCTCCGCTCCTCCCACTCCCACTCTCTTTCTCTTTCCCCCTCCCTCCCCCCTTCTCGCTTCCCCCATCCCGCCCCTATCCCCCCTCCCGCTTTCCTTATGGCGCGTTGGTGGGTGCGCGCAGCGGCGGTGCTGCTGCAGTGCATGAAGGAGTGGAAGGCGGACTTCTTCGGGTGGTCGTACAGCTCGCAGTGTTTCCAGGCGGAGCTCGTCACGTGTGACGAAGACGGCATGGTTACCAGCATGTGAGGCTCGTGGGGGAGGAAGCAGCAGCAGTAGGAGTAGTAGAATTTAGTACCGGACGTTTACTTACCTTCTGATTCGACTAGAACGGCCACGTGGTTACCAGCATTTGAGGAAGATTAGAGTAGCAGTAATGCACTCGCACTCGGTGCCACACGCCACTCCGCACCGCACCCCAGCACCACGCACCCCACACCTAAACCACACCGGCAGGAGGAGCATATTCTCCCATGCCACCACACCACCATGGCATCGTGCCCACTTGATTTGTTGCGCCACTCGCAATGGTCTCTCTCTCCTCAAAACTGCGCATGATTCGCTTTTGCGTGTATGTGCGTGTGTGTGCGTGCGTGTGCGTGCGTGTGCGTGCGTGTGCGTGCGTGTGCGTGCGTGTGCGTGCGTGTGCGTGCGTGTGCGTGCGTGTGCGTGCGTGTGTGTGCGTGTGCGTGTGTGTGCGCGCGCGCGTGTGCGTGCGTGCGTGCGTGCGGGGGAGCGCAGGAGCCTGGTGGACATGAGGCTGGCCGGCAGTATCCCCTCCTCTATTGGCCTGCTCACTCGCATGACGTACTTGTGAGTGCGCCGTGTGAGAGGAGTGGGAGGAGTAGGACTTGTGGGGGAAGTGGGACGAGTTAGGCGAGTGAAGGAAGTTGGAGCGTGGGGCAGGTGCGGGGCGGGAAAGGAGGGCAGGGAGGGCAGGGAGGGCGGGGAGGAAAAGAAAAGCTGGTGAGGGAAGTACATGCTGTGGTGTGCTCTCTGGGTTCGCAGGGGCTGCAGCAAGCCCAGAAAGCAGCCTATTGTTTCCGGTGGTGATCTGCCACATGTTTGCACTGCCTGCTGAGTACTCTCTGCTGTGCCTCTCTCTCCTGTGCTGCATGATACTGTGCGTTTACTTGCGTACACACGCTCTGCATGCTTACTTTCGCACTTTGTTGTTGTGTCGCATTGTCACCAGGGACTTGAGCGGCAATCACTTGGGCAGCACCATTCCGCACTCTCTCCAGAAACTCTCCTACATGGACACCCTGTGAGTGGCAGACACACACAGCAGCAGCACCACCACCACCAGCACCTCCACCACCACCACCACTGTCACGACCGCCTATGTCTGCCCAACTTCGCCCAACGCCTTCCATCTCTCTCCCACCTCCTGCTAGCACCCCCCATTGCTTCCATGGTCTTCCATCTATCCTCACCAACCGAACCGCATACCCTCTCTTCTTGCAAGTTTTGGCTTGCTGGCTTACCTGCTGCCTCCCTTGCTGGCTGCCTTGCTGACTTGCTTCCTGGCTGGCTCTGTGCGTGGCAGCAACCTGGCGAAGAACGAGCTGAACGGGTCCATTCCTGAGTTTATCGGCTCCCTCACCCGCACCACCTTCCTGTGCGTCACCCACCTCGCACACATGCATGCGCATGGATGCATGGATGGGCATGGATGGGCATTTGTGTGAATGTATAGAAGGGCACAGGTGTGCGTGTATGGGCATGTGCTGGATTGCTGGGCTGCATAATCTACTCCTGGGCCCATGCTGTCAAGCAGATACGCTCCTCCTCCCATCCACTGTCCGTCCCTCTCACCCGCTTCGATCTCCCAGGATTGCCCCTAACTAGTTTCCCTCAGCCTTTCGCGCTATAATTAATCTCCATGCCGACACACACGCGCTGCCGCTCTCAATACCCTCTCACCACCCTCCCACCACCCCTCACCCATGCTCACCCATGTCAGCCAACGCTATCCCAACTCATCCTCCCCTTCTCTCTCCCCCCCATCCTGCCCTCTCCCTGGCTCTCGTCTCTCCCCACCACCTCACACCATCTCGGAGCAGCAACCTGGCGGGCAACAAATTCTCCGAGTCTGTGCCGTCCAGTATGGGCAACCTTCTCTCCCTGCACTACCTGTACGCTACTCGCTCACTTGCTCGCTCGCATGCTTGCTTGCCTGCTTGCAGGCTTGCTTGCTTGATTGTGGAGTGAATTCGATGAATCTCGAATTCCGAAACAGTGATGCGGGACATGCTTGGCCACTTCACCATGCTAAACCTCGCTTCACCGTCCTCCACCGCACTCCACAACGCGTTGTCATGAGTCATGGCATCGCGTGCTTCATCCTCTCCGGCCGCGCCCTAACAAGCAGCGTCACCACAAGCAACCATCCGCGCCTTTCTCTCCATCCAGTCGCTTACGTGCCATCACCCCCTGCTTCTCCTCTCCTCCACCCTATTGCAGGGATATCAGTAACAACTCTCTTACAGGTGCTCTCCCTCCGTCACTGGGCAACCTTACAGATCTATGGAGCCTGTGAGTCAGTCAATCGCTGCACACACACCCATCCCATCCCATCCCATCCCATCCCATCCCATCCCATACCATGCACTACATCTCCTATCGTTCGTTCACCTTGCTAATGTCCCCTTTTCCCCCTGCCTTCCCCTCCCCGTCCCTCCTCTCCACCCCACGCCATACCTCCCTCCCCATACCGTCCCGGTTCTCGCTGCTCGTGCGGCAGCAAGTTCAACTCGAGTGTGGCGGCGCCCGTGTGCCCCTCATCGGGAGAGTGCACGGTCAGGCAGAACTCCTCTTCCGCCTTCTGCTCCATCTGCACTCGCTTCTGCAAGACCTGCGCAGGCAAGCACCCCCTTCTCTCTCCGCCCCCTTCCTTCCCCCTTCCTCCCCCCTCCCCCCTCTCCCCTCCCCCTCCTTTCTCTTGCTATCTCTTTCAAACAGGCCGTAGGCATTTTCATCTTGGTTTCAGGCAACCAGACACTCGTGTGTTGGTTATCATCTCAGCTCCCAGCTCTCATGCCCCTTTCCATTCTTCTCTACTCCCTGTACTTGCCTTGCCCCCAACAGAGATGTTCGCTGCCTCAGCCCCCGAGTCTCAACCCGCTCCGCAACCTCCTCTGCCTTCCCCTCCCTCCCTCCCTTCCATTGCACCTGCCTCCGCCTCTCTCCCATCCCCCGCACCCGCATCACAGCCTGCTCCTGCATATTTCGCCCCACCCTCCCTTTCCTCCATTCCCCTTGCACCACCCTCCTCCCCTCCTGTACCTGCACCTGCCTCGAATGTCACCAACGCCACGAGTACTGAAGAAAACACAAGTGGTGTCAGCAGCAGCACTGCGAAGGGAGTGTATGGATCTCCAGTGGCAATGGCGGTGGTTGCAGCTGTGGTGACAGCATTGGCGGTGGCATGTCTGCTCGTGGGTGTGCGCTGGGCGATGAATAGAAGAGATGGCAGTAGAGCAGGGAACAAGGATGCGTGGAACCCTGCATAACTGTTGAATAAGTGCACATTCTTTCGTTCTACTTGGAGTCTGTATCCATGTTACACAATCTTTGTAACTGGAAACACGTCTGTAAGGATTTACAAATCCTTACTGAGGCACTCGTTAGCGAGGCCATCCCGAGGGTCACGCGAGGAACCTTTTCTTCCTATTTCGTCGCACCGAACCACTCCTGAGTCGCCTCCGCACCAATCGCAACCATCACCGAGCCATCCTCGCTCAACCTCCCCGCCTAGCTAGGAATTCCCCTATTTGGGCCTCGTCACTTCCATTGTATCGTCATTCAGTAATCAGTCATTCTCGTTATTCGATATTCTGCGCACTCTGCAAGTTCATTCATAACGAAGTCCACATTTCCACCACTACCCCTCAAACATTGATTATTTTTATAACGAATTCGCACCATGCGGGTTGGGAACGTCGGAACTCACGACCAGTGGGACCCCGAATCACCGAGACCCACCGAAAATAGTCACGAAGCCAAAAGACCTAGGGTCATGACCAGACCCGACCGTGCCTGACCATGCCTAACCGTGCCGCCGCACACAAATTCCTGCACTTACCAGCTGCGCCGCCACGCCGCAGAGCAAGCGTTCCCAGCCGAACAAGGAGGTAATCGCCGGCAGTTTTCGGACCAGTTCGTCGCTCCAGTCAGCCCTGCGGCGAGCATTGACGGCTAGCCGCTAGTTCTGCCTCTCGACCAACCAGCGCGTGTGGAGTTCCAAAGGCCAGCTCGATGGTGGCGCTTATAACGGGCGGCAGGGGCTTCTTGGGGTCCCTGCTGGCCAAGGCGATTGCGGGAGGCGCCCTGGCGGAGGGGCGCGCGGAAGGGGGTGGCGGAGCGGAGTCCAGCGCGGAGCGAGATCTCGCAAAGGGCGTGGCAGAGGAGAGAGTGATAGCCGTTGATGTCACCCCTCCCGGCGAACTCGACACCACCACGGGTGGCGTCACACATGTATAGCGCTCCGCCCGTTTCCTGCTCCGCTCCTCTCCCACGCCGGTCCTCTCTCCATCCCTCTGCTCCTCACCAGGCTGTTCTGTTTGCAGCCCGTTATTTCGGTCCCCCTTGCCCCTTCCCCAATCCTCCTTCTTTTCTCCCCAACGCATGCTGCCTCGTTTGTGCGTACCCGCACTGCTGACCCCGTCTCTTCCTCGCTTCTTTCCTTTTGTCCCTCTTTTCAAAGTCTCTGTTCTTTTGTCCCTCTCTCTGTGCTTCCCCATGCCTCACCACCCCTCCTTGTGCCTCCCCATGCCTCACTGTGTCTCCCTGTACTTTCCTGACTCTCTCCCTGTGCCCTTCTCCCTCTTGCTGCTGACCCGAACGCCCCATGTACTACTCACACGCATTCCAACCAATCAGGTGGTAGGAGACATCACGGATGCCGCATTTCTCTCCACTCTGATTCGTCCATCTGTCACCCAGTAAACATCCCTTCCTCTCTCTTCCCAACCCGACCCACCTCACCCTCCTCTGCCTTCTCTTCTACCCCTCACTCTCTCTCTCTCTCTCTCTCTCTCTCTCTCTCTCTCTCTCTCATGTGCCGTTTCCCTACTCTCAGAGAGTTCCTTCTCCTCCCTCTCTCATTACCCTCCCAGTTATCTTCACTTGCTCGCCTCTTCTTCCCATCCCTCCCTCTCTGACCCATTTCCTTTTGTGTTCTCCTCCAAGTCCCCCCCTTCTCCCTATCTCTCTCCCTCTGTGCTCCCAGCATCTTCCACCGGACAGCAGTTACTTCTGAGACGTCTCAAAACACCCCCCCACCCCCTCCTTCCATCCGTCTCTCCACGCCCCCTCTCTCGGTGAGTGTGCAGCATATTCCATCTGGCGGCGGTGGTGAGTGGTGCAGCAGAGAAGGACTACGACCTGGGAATGAAGGTAACACCCTCCCCTGCATCCCACCTACCATGTCCCACCTGCCATGTCCCACCTGCCATGTCCCACCTGCCATGTCCCACCTGCCATGTCCCACCTGCCATGTCCCACCTGCCATGTCCCACCTGCCATCTCTCACATACCAGCCCATGACGATACTCCCTGCTGCACTGCACTGCTTTTTATCTGCATGGTTCAAGGCGTATGGTTCCTGTGCCTCTGCTACACTAGTCACATCACATCCATCTTCACACACTCACCATTGTCTTTGTGATTGCTCTTCCTTCCCTACCCTTTCATCCCTGCACTACCACCACCGCACTCCTTTCCGCAACTACACTTCCCACCCCTACACTTCCCACCCCTACACTTCCCACCCCTACACTTCCCACCCCTACACTTCCCACCCCTGCGCTTCCCACCCCTGCACCGCCCACCTCTTGCACTCCCCCTCCCATGCCCTCATGCCCACGCCTGCAGGTCAACTTTGATGCCACGCGTGCTCTGCTGCAGGCGTGCAGGGCGGCAGGCCACTGCCCTCGCCTCATCATGGCCTCCTCTGTCGCTGTCTTTGGCGCTCCCTCCTCCAACTCCTCCAACTCCCAGGTGCACTGTCTGTCTTTTTGCTGCGCTGCGCTCGCGTGTTGGCACCACCACACTACGAAATTCTCGCGCGATAAAGACGAGATTGTTAGATGTGGATGTTGGATTGGGCTTCATACACGTTAACACCCTCAGTGACCCCCCTTAAACCCCCAGTGGACTCCACCCTTCATGCTCACTCAGCTTATTGCTTCTTCTTCTGCTTGTGCTTCCCTGTCCCTTCTGCTTGCTGTTTGCTTCTGCCGGGGCTGCATGGCTGCAGGTTCCATACTCTGAGGACACCCCTGCTCTGCCCCGCTCCTCCTATGGGGCTGAGGTAAACCCGCCGCTGCCCGTGCCAATCAACGCCATCTCCACTTCTCCCACTCTCTACACCTCTGTCAACTCCTCTCCTAGCACTTTCTGTGCCTTCCCGAATCCCAGGAACTTCGTGATTTTCCCTGCAGCCCCCCCACCCTAAACCCCCCACCTTACTTACCCTCTTCCTCACATGTCCGCTCTTCTTTCTTTCCCGCGTCCCAAACCCGTGCGTTTCCTCTCTATATCTCTCCGTCCCCTTCCCGCCCCTCTCTCTTGGCGTGTGCCTCTCCCCCCATTCCTCTCAAGAGCAGAAGGCAGTGGCGGAGCTGCTGCTATCAGACGGCAGCAGGCGGGGCTTTGCTTTTGAGTCGACTCAAAAGCAGACTCTCTTGGCGTGTGTGTCTCATGGCCCCTCTCTTCCCCCCCTCAATCCCCTCACGAGCAGAAGGCCATGGCGGAGCTGCTGCTATCAGACGGTAGCAGGCGGGGCTTTGTAGATGCCATTGTGCTGCGCCTTCCCACTGTCGTCGTGCGACCTGGCAGGTAAACTCACATTTACGCATGGATACATGCACACACCCACCCAATCATCTACACATGCACAACACACCCTCACACACACACACACACACACACACACACACACACACACACACGCACACACACACCCATGTTCCTCGACCGACCCGCGCACAGCTATCATCCCTTCACAGCCCGCCCACAGCAGGCCTTACCCCATGATTCAGCTATGAATGACTCGCAGCCTCCTGCCTCCCTCGCAGCACGAAAGGATCAGCAGCACGAGCACATGCGCACTCGTACTGCTCGCTTTCACGGCCCTGCCATCCCGTACTCGTTCTCGCTGTCCCTGATTTCCCATGCTGCAGCTGCAACCAAGAGGAAGTCAGCCATACGCCGCCTCTCACCGGCGATTTCTTCCCCTGCGCGTGTGCGTCCATGTGCATGTGTGCGCTTGCGTGTGCGTATGTGTGTGCGTGTGCCTGTGCCTGTGCCTGTGCCTGTGCATGTGCATGTGCCTGTGCCTGTGCCTGTGCGTGTGCCTGTGCCTGTGCATGTGCGTGGGCCTGTGCATGTGCGTGGGCCTGTCCATGTGCGTGTGCCTGTGCCTGTGCCTGTGCCTGTGCATGTGCGTATGTGTGTGCGTGTGCCTGTGCATGTGCGTGTGCCTGTGGGTGTGCCTGTGCCTGTGCCTGTGCGTATGCATGTGCGTGTGCGTGTGCCTGTGCCTGTGCCTGTGCATGTGCATGTGCCTGTGCCTGTGCCTGTGCGTGTGCCTGTGCATGTGCGTGGGCCTGTGCATGTGCGTGTGCCTGTGCATGTGCGTGTGCCTGTGCATGTGCGTGTGCGTGTGCCTGTGCCTGTGCCTGTGCGTATGCATGTGCGTGTGCGTGTGCCTGTGCCTGTGCCTGTGCATGTGCATGTGCCTGTGCCTGTGCCTGTGCGTGTGCCTGTGCATGTGCGTGGGCCTGTGCATGTGCGTGTGCCTGTGCATGTGCGTGTGCCTGTGCATGTGCGTGTGCCTGTGCCTGTGCCTGTGCCTGTGCCTGTGCATGTGCATGTGCCTGTGCATGTGCCTGTGCATGTGCCTGTGCCTGTGCCTGTGCGTGTGCGTGTGCGTGTGCCTGTGCCTGTGCGTGTGCCTGTGCATGTGCGTGGGCCTGTGCATGTGCGTGTGCCTGTGCATGCGCGTGTGCCTGTGCATGTGCGTGTGCCTGTGCATGTGCCTGTGCCTGTGCATGTGCATGTGCCTGTGCCTGTGCATGTGCCTGTGCCTGTGCATGTGCCTGTGCCTGTGCATGTGCCTGTGCATGTGCCTGTGCCTGTGCCTGTGCGTGTGCCTGTGCGTGTGCCTGTGCCTGTGCCTGTGCCTGTGCCTGTCCATGTGCGTGTGCATGTGCATGTGCGTGTGCCTGTGCATGTGCGTGTGCCTGTGCATGTGCGTGTGCCTGTGCCTGTGCCTGTGCCTGTGCATGTGCCTGTGCATGTGCCTGTGCATGTGCCTGTGCCTGTGCGTGTGCGTGTGCCTGTGCCTGTGCATGTGCGTGTGCCTGTGCATGTGCGTGTGCCTGTGCATGTGCGTGTGCCTGTGCATGTGCCTGTGCCTGTGCATGTGCATGTGCCTGTGCATGTGCCTGTGCATGTGCCTGTGCCTGTGCATGTGCATGTGCCTGTGCATGTGCCTGTGCATGTGCCTGTGCCTGTGCCTGTGCCTGTGCGTGTGCCTGTGCGTGTGCCTGTGCCTGTGCCTGTGCCTGTGCCTGTGCCTGTGCCTGTCCATGTGCGTGTGCATGTGCATGTGCGTGTGCCTGTGCATGTGCGTGTGCCTGTGCATGTGCGTGTGCCTGTGCCTGTGCCTGTGCCTGTGCATGTGCGTGTGCCTGTGCATGTGCCTGTGCCTGTGCCTGTGCCTGTGCCTGTGCATGTGCCTGTGCATGTGGCTGTGCATGTGCGTGTGCGTGTGCCTGTGCCTGTGCGTGTGCCTGTGCCTGTGCATGGCAGTCCCAATGCAGCGACGTCCTCCTTCTGCTCATCCATCGTCCGAGAGCCTCTGCACGGAAAGCCAGCCACCTGTCCCGTCGACCCCGCCCTATCACTCTGGCTGCAGGTATCACTTTTGCCAAGTCCCATTGAAGAGTGATGAACTTTTTTCCAAAGTGATACAGGAAAGACCAACGACAAGCCAGCCACCTGCCCCATGGATGGCCGACAAGCCGGCCACCTGCCCCATGGATGGAATGGACCCTGCCCTTCCACTCTGGCTGCACTGCAGGTAAAGCAGCACCTGCCAGGTGCTGTGACCCAGCCCAGCCAGCACCCTGTGTCTGCTCCGCTGAATGGAAAGCCAGCACCCTCCTCTCTGCGCTGCTGAATGTGCTGTGCTGGTGTAACGAAGCTCACAGTTATACGCATCCACATTACCCCCACAGCTTCATCTCTCAGACATTTCCATGTATATGTAACCCTGCTCTGTGCTGTGTGGTGTGAGCATGCATGTATCCCGCCCGCACTGTCATCAGCAGCATCCTCCATCCATCCATACTGCCACAAATACCAAACCGCCCACATGTACATGTATGTATCACTCCTGCTCCGTTCTGTGTTGTGCGCGTGTGTGTGCATGCGTGCAGTCCCCCCGCACAGTCATCAGCAACATCCTCCATGCGGCCCGCCTGCCGTCCCTGCCACCCAACCACCCACGCATCATCACCCTTCCCGGCCTCACTGTCAGTGCCTCCCTCCACTCCACTCCCATGCACAGTAACTATTGAGCCGACTGAAAGTTAAAAGAAGCCACCATGCCACCCAATGCACCACCATCCCTCTGCTCCCTTCTCTCCTCTTCCCGTTCTCTGACCGAATTGCAATATTCAGAATGTGAGCCCACACTTGTTTTGAGGCGCCTCAAAACCGAATTGCAATATTCAGAATGTGAGCCCACACTTGTTTTGAGGCGCCTTTGGCGAGTGGCAACACTGACACATACACCCATGGCAATCATCAGTCCCTAACGGACACCAATATGGGCGTGGTCATGTCACGGACCAGCCAACGCTAAAGAAGATCGAGTACTTTGAATTCCTCTGTGCCTCGTCTTGTGTGTTCCTCGTGTGTGCATCTCTCTCTCTCTCTCTCCCCGGCTATGCACAGACCAGCGCAGCAGAGCTCGTGGATCAGCTGCCACGCTTTGGAGTCGATCCCTCCCTGGTCAGCCGCTTGCTTGCCTCCTTACTTGCCTGCTAGATCTGCCTCGATACTTCCACAATTTTGCTCTCTCATATGCTACTGCAATTTTAACTCCTCTCATATCCTAAACTTGATGCAGTCTGCCTGTGGTGAGCCGGTTCCATGGGGTGCGGAAAACATGCCACATTACATAACATGCGATCATGTGCTTCTGAGACGTGCGCGTGGTATCTCTCTGCAGATTGTTTCTTCACATGATATGTGGCGTGTGGGGTGTTGCGGATTTGGCATATGGGTTTTGGAACTTGTGTCGTGGCGCATGGCATGTGTCGTGTGCAGGTGCAATGGGTGCCAGATCCTTTCATCAACAGCATAGTGGCATCATGGCCAGGCCACATACACACGCCCACAGCAATCCAACTGGGCTTCAAAGCAGACACGTAACTAACTCATCGTGCCCTCCCTTCACGACCTGCACTCTTGATTTTCAACTCACCATGAGCCTTGTCCTGCCAAACTGCCATCTTGTCTGCTTTCCCTCTTTCCACTGACCTACCCCCATTCCTCCACTCCATTTGCCCCTTCTTCCCCTCGCTTCTCCCTACCTCACGCACGGCACATTAGGAGACATATTCAGAACCATCGGTCTCCTGCACACATGCAGTGTCCTCATGTTCATCTCTCCTTGCCTCTGCTCCCTCCCGACCCGCCGCTTCCCAAACCCCCACACACTGCTTTTGTTGCTGCCTCCGCCCTTTGCCTTGTGCTGCATTTGACTCTCTCCCAGCGATGTTGCGTCCTTGGTAGAGGAGTATGTGCAGGAGTATGTTAAACCTGTGCAGTGACGACCATTCCTGCATGTGGTGTAACGTGTACACAAGTGCTTCAAAGAGTATGCGACGTAAGGTAGCACAAGTGAATGATGATGTTTTGACTTTCGAGCCGCCGCAAAGGCTGTATTGATATGTCAGGCAGACCGCTCTGGGTCAACAGCCCAGTTTACGGTAACAGGGTTTATGATTTCTGTAATAATGCGTTAGGAGTTGGATTGAAACTTGATCATGGCAATGATATCTAGCAAGCCTTGGAGCAGCCTCAGCAGAACCACCTACCGTAATGTGCCACATCCATTGTGTTGTGATTATTTATCTGCTGGCCGTTTCCAGGGAGCAGGCTCTAGACATCCATGCTGTAGCAGTATCATAATGTGTACTAGCATGTTCATCACATCCAATAAATAGAAAGCACCCTTTACAAAAACAACATCCCATATTTCTAGCACTAGTCTGCTCTCCTCCATCTAACCCTAGGCCCAATAGATCGGCAGCAGACTACCGTATTACGAAGGTGGGGCAGAGTAAGGTAAGGTCCAACAAGTACGGTAGCAGCAGAGGAGAACGCACGTGTAGCACACCGATACCGTAGGACAGATAACCGGACCAGTAGTACTGGTAATATGGTATACCATACATACACACACCATACAGAATCCAGTGGAAAAAGCACAGGACAGGACCCTGCCTGCCTTCATCCATGCTGGGCCACTAAACGACATACGATAATGTAGTTTCTCTTTGCCTGTGCAGGGCTTCACTTTCAAATGTTCCGAGGTGATGATCCTGCTAGGAGGGCAAATAAAACACGGATTAGTGACGGGGCAAACGAGCGAGAGCTCACATCCGAACGGCATGCGAAATGAAAGCAGGATTGTGCATATGCATGGATGGAGATGGCAGGAGGAATGGAGCATGAGAGTTGGGACTTGCATTCACATGTGGAGGTGGAGTGAAGAGTGAGAATGGTCGTGGGAGACAACAATCAGTTGCACAACAGATGTAGGCAATAATATCAGAGGAAAGAAATGGCGCATAAGGTGTGTGTGTGTCCGCAGGTGTGCATGAATATGCAAATGCGCGATTGTGTGCAGTGTGCATGTGAGCACGAGTGCATGCATGCATGTGTGTCTGACCTGAGGCACCCACGGAGCGCCAGATGGAAGCAGCACTCCTCTCCATCACCTCCCTCACCTCCTCCGCGTTCTGTCACGCACGCACGCACACACGCACGCACGCATGCACGCACGCACACATGCACGCACCACATGACGCACACACCAAAAACATCTCCACACGCTTTCATCACATGACAGCGAAGCAACGTCATGCCAGACGGCGCCACATGAAATGACACGACGTGACATGGTGTGACGAGAGTTGACGAAACGTGCAACTAATGACAGGCAACGACGAGCCATCGGAAAGATAAAATTTAGGACGTCTCAAAAACATAATATTCTATCACGTGAGCCGAGCTGACAACACGTGCAAATTAAATTCCTCAAACCCCATGACCTTTCTTCCTCCTCCCGTGTGTCCCCCCAAGCCCATACTGACATCGCATTGCTTCACCAGCTGCGCTCGCTTGGGCATGGCCCACCCCCACAGCCGGCACGCCACGTTCACCGCCCGCGACTTCTGCTCATTGCTCAAATGCCCTGGGAAGGGTGGGGCGCCAAGCCGGTGTCGGGGGAGGGGAAGGAAAGGAGGGGAGGGACAGGAGAGAGAAAGAGTCACTCACAGCATGGTGAGTGATCGTGAGGAGCATCTAAGCAACCAGCACCGACACATGTTTTGTGATGTCTCAAAAGCCGTTCGACGACTGTCCCCACACACAATCACACTCACAGTGATCGATCCTGGTGCGCATCTGCACTGCAGAACCAGCACCGACTCAGCAGTCACCAAAGAGACTCTCAGTCATCGGACAGAGTTATAATCTGCGCCACCAGCAGCGGCAGCACATCCCTTCAACCCCACTCCACACACACACTCACAGTCATCGGTCATGGTGAGTATCTGCGCCACCAGCGCTGGCACGTCCGCGAGGGGCCACTTGCACGAGTCAGCCACAGTGGCAGCGAGGCGGGACGCAATAGCGAGCGACAGATCAGGCTTCTCCTCGTCCAGCGGATACACTATCTCCAGCAGCGCCGCTGGGCGCATGGCGGGGGACGTGGAGTCCGGGAGCGCGAGCAGCAGCCCCCGTAGACCCCAGTCGAAGACTTCCAGGTCTAGTGGGTCCGCACAGGAGCCTTCCTCGTCTATGGCCTGGGGGAGTGCGACGGTGGGGAGGTTGGGAGGGGTGGGGACGGGTAGGGAGGGTAGGGGAATTGGGGTACAAGGGTGGTGGGCTGGGGTTGCGGATGAAACGAGGGAGAAGCGGGCATTGGCGTGGAGATAGACGAGAGGGTTTCTGAGCCCGCTGGAAAAATTGAGCACTTGCGCATGAGCAGCACAGCCGCTTGTGCGAATCCATGAGACGTGCGCGCACGCACCTCGTATGTGTGCATGAGCGATTTCACGTGCATGGACTCGAGCAGCAGCGGCAGGTGCAGCTCCGTCTCTATGTTCCGCCCAATGCGCAGCCACACAGCCCACCCCACCTCCGTCGCCGGCTCCACCATCCTCTCTATCACCTCGATCGCCCGCTCCTCACCGCCTCCCACCTCGCCTCCTCCCGCACCCGCAGCAGCCGCCGCCGCCGCAGCAGCAGCAGCGCCACTCCCCAGCCAGCGGTTGAGCATCACCAGCGCGCTCAGCTCCTTCTCCCTCCAGTCAACCACGACGTTGCCCATTCGAGACACGCCCAGGGCACCGCCGGCTGCTCCGGGCCCGCCGAGCAAGCCCCGGGAGTGCATGCGGAGAAAGTTGAGCGTCACTTCGTACGCCCACGGGTGGCAGAGTTTCATGTCGGTGCATCGCAGCATGGCGTCTGCTAGCTCTGCTACATACGATGCTGGCCTGTCCCGCCTGCTCACCCCGCTGCTGCTGCGATCCATCCCCATGCTGCTGCTCGTGCTCATGCCGCTGCTGCTGCGCTCGATCCCGGCGCCACCAACAGCACCAGGACCATTGCCAGGCCCACCACCACCACCACCTCCCGCTCCTCCTCCTCCCCCTCCCCCTCCCCCACTCCCTCCTCCGCCTCCCCCTTCCACAGTGGCAATATGCGCAGTCTTCACCGTACTAGCAAGCCGGGCGAATCTCGCGTTAACCGACTCCGCGCCGCTGCCCTGAAACACCATGCGGATCACATGGTCAAACCCATCGGCCGCCAGCCGGCCAGACGCCACCGCACACAGCACCACATGGAACGCCGCTTCCTCCAATCCCAGCGACTCCATATGCAGAGCGAGAGAGACGAGATCGTCCGGGTGTAAATGCTTCATCTCCCTCATCTCTGCAGCGAGGTTCATGGCTAGAACGCCCGGGCCAAGACCCAGGCTGTAGTAGAGCCTGTCTATCTCCTCGCATCGCTCCGAGAGATTGCTGTGCTTCGCCCGCGCGATACCCTCTGCTAGAGCCACCTCGGCGAGACTTGCTAGACGCATAGGCTGCCAGGGCTTCTGGGTTCGGTGGCTGGGGAGGAGGAGGTTGGGGCGTGGCGGGGAGGAGACGGAGGTGAGCGGATGGTGCGTGGACGCAGGGTTGGTTGGGGAGGTTGGGGAGCCGGCAGAAGGGAGGGGGTGTTGCGGGTGGGAGAGCGTTCGGTCGTGGCATGCTGTGAGGACGGCCTTAAGGCAGGAGAGGATGAAGGCTCGGCAGGCAGGGAGATTGGAAGGTACCCTGACGTTGAGCACTCGGCCAAAGCTGGGAAGTTCTGGGGCAGAGGAGAGGAGAGATGCGCTGGCGACAGTGGATGATTGGAGATAGGAGGATGTGTGGGGGGATGAGGAGAGGGAGGATGGCACGAGTGTGGAGAGCGGTGGGGAGGAGGCAGAGGCGGAGGCGGAGGGGGGCAGGGGAGGCATGGAGGAGGATGTGGGGTTGGAGGAGGTGGAGGTTCTGGAGCTGAAGAAAGGGGATGAGGGACGGGGGAAAGCAACAGGGAAGGACAGGAGACTGTGCTTCGCATGTGGCTGCTGCTGCTGCTGCTGCTGCTGCGGCTGTTGCTGCTGCTGCTGCCCTGCCCCTGCCCCTGCCCCAGCACCAGCACCATATCCTCCTCCCCCGCCCATACCCCCCACACCTTCCAAAGGCCCAGAATTGGAAACCGCTCGGCGACGAGTCCACCCAGGCGACCCAGGCTGACTCCCGCCACTTGCACTACCTCCTGCCGCTCCTGCCGCCGCCCCCACTCCTCCTCCTCCACCACCACCACCACCACCACCCAGCAGACCCCCCATGTTGCCCGACCCAGCCAAGCCAGACGCACGGGCCGGCGGTGTGAGCGAGCGAGACGACGCTGCTCTGGCCTGCAAGCCGAAGTTGCCGCTGCCCTCGCGGCCCAGCACCCCAGAGCCCTCCCGGAAGAGGGACCCTTCTCGCGGCCACGCGAAGTTGTTAGCGAGGAGTTCAAAGCGAGCAATGCGGTGCAGCAGGCGCAGCAGACACATGCACGCCGTGGCAGGCTGCCACGAGCTGATCGCTGCTCCTAGCCCGGCCACCAGGAGAATATCATCATGGGAACATGTGGCTGGTTGCGGCGGCCCTGTGCCTAGCGCCTCTGCTAGGAGCCTGGCTTGCAGACTCCCTTCCGGCCCCCATCCCTTGCCCACCCCTGCCCCGTGTCCCGCTGCTGCTGCTGAGAAGTCTCCTGCGCTGCCGGCGTCAGCAGCGCCTGCTGCTGATCCTGCTGTGCTGCCCGCATTGCTGCGTCGTCTTGAATGGTGTTGCTCATGCCTGCTGCTGCTGTTGCTCAGGGATTCGCGTTCCTGCCTGCCCGTGCCGCCGGCACCGCCGTCGTATGAGAAGCGGTACAACCCGTGACCCTCCCTTTCCCGCTCCCGTTCTCTCTCCCTCCTCCTGTCCTTCTCCCACTCCCTCTCCCTCTCACGCACCCTGTCTCTCTCCCTATCCCGCTCCCGCTCCCTCTCCCTAGGTCTTTCCCTATCCCTTTCTCTATCCCTCTCCCTATCCCGCTCCCGCTCTCTCCAGGGAGAGCTAGAGCCACTACCCAAGGGATCTCTCAAAGGAGACGCACCAGCAGAGTCAGGAAACCGAGGAGACAGGAACCCGCCCACGCTGCTCCCCCCTCCACTCACACTGTCTCTCTCTCTATCCCTAGTCGCCTGCTCCTCCTCCTCCTCTTCCTCCACCACCCACTGCGGCTTCACCTCGCCCCACTGCTCCCAGTACTTGAGCCACACAGCCAGCCCTGCCACAAACACCTCCCCCACATGCGCCTCGCTGAGCTTCTCCGCACTGTCCGCCACTCCTCTGAACTTCCGCCGCACCCATTCATACTCCCGCACGGCTTCGGTGGCGGACCAGTGCCGGCTGCGGCGGCGGTGCGTGATGCGAGTGACGCACACAGGCGCCGCATCCGACCACGACCGATCCGACAGAGAAGACACCGGCCCCGCTCGGCCGCGAGAGGACGACGCAGACGACCCCCCACCTCCCCCACCCCCACCCCCTCCCCCACCTCCTCCTGCTCTCGATCCATACGGGACGATGCACTCATCCTCATCGTCATCATCCATACTGAATGCATGCGGGCCTGGACCGCCAGGCATGAGCGACACGGCATCATCATCATCATCCTGCCCCGCCAAACGCTGCAGCATCATCTCGAGATACTGCATGAACAGCCACGACCAGTGGTCGCGGCACTGCTGCGCGCGCCGCCGCGCCGCCGCCACAGGTCCAAACTCCCTGTGCAGCGCGCGGGCGGCCACAGCAGGAGCACCGTGCGCGTGGCCATGCCCATGCCCGTGCGCGTGGGCGATTTCTGGGCGGCGCATGATGGAGAGCGTGCGCACATAGAGCAGCTCTGGAGGCATGTCCTCGTCTATGGGATCATGGATGTCATGGTCATGGTCATGGTCATAGTCATGGTCATGACTTACAGCACCTACACCTACACCATGCAGGTCTAGGTCTAGGTCCTCGTGGTCGTGGCTGTGGCTGTGGCTGTGGCTGTGGCTGTGGCTGTGGCTGTGGCTGTGGCTGTAGCTGTGGGGGCTTGCTTCATCTGTATCTATGTACCCCTCCTCCTCTTCCTGCTCCTCCTCAGAGTGCGCGCCGCCATACAGGCGCCTGGAACCGCCTACCCGTTCACCCACCACACCCCTTCGCCTTCTCTCCGCATGCCCTCCCCTGCTCCCCTTGCCAACCTGTGAGTGCCCATGCTTGCGGCTATGCACCCCCCCATGACTCCTCCCATGCCCCCTCCCATGCACACGCGCGTGTCTGCTTGCACCAGGAGACACCCCATGCTCCTCCCCGTCCACCTCCACCTCCTCACTCCAAACCTCGTCCTCATCTGTAATATCATTCCCATGCCCAGGCTTTCTGAACCCAACTCCTCCCTTCCCACGCGCCACCACCCTTCCTCCCCTCTTCCTCCTCACCCGCCCCGCTCCCACCACCCTTGTACCACCCAAATCCGACTCACTCCCCTCCTCATGCCCCTCCTCCTCTCCCTCCCCCTCTGTAGAATACTCTTCCTCCCCTTCCGAGTACATCCCATCACTGTACTCCGAATCGAACTCAGCATCGCCGCTCACAGACCCGCCATCCTCACTCATGAGCTCTTCCTCACTGTCACTAATCAACTCCTCCTCTCCATCAAGCAACATGTCATCCTCCTCCTCCCCATCAACATACTCACCCTCTGATTCATCCTCATAAATATCCTCCTCCTCGTCCTCCTCCTCCTCCTCTTCTCCCTCCTCCTCCCCCACGAGATTCCTGGCAGGCCCTCTGATCCCCTCCTGTCTCAGCAGCAGCACCTGTGGGCTCGTAGGTTCGCCATCACCCTCATCCTTCTCTGCTCCCGCCTCACCACTCTCCATACTAACTTCCACGCCAACACTCACCTGCTGCCCCTCCTCCACCTGTCCCTTCTTTCCTCCCTCTCCTGCCTCTCCTCCCTCTCCTCCCTCTTCTCCCTTCTCCCCCTGTCCATCCTCATCCACCACTCCTCCCTTCAACCCCTCCCTTAAATCATCAGCAACACCATCCTCACCACCCATGCTGCTGTCTACACCCACCACACCCACCACACCCGCCTCTACCTCCACCTCTCCTTCTCTTTCTATCTCCACCTCGATCTCTATCCTCTTCACCATCGTTTCACCATTCTCTCCACTCACAAGAGCGTTCACTCCGCTGCTTCTTCCTCCTCCTGCCCCAACCTCTTCCATCCCCTTGCTACTGCTCTCACCCTGCTCCTGCTCCTGCTCCTCCCCCTCCTCCACCCTACGTGGCCCCCCGTCTGCCCTCCCCATCCCGCTGCCTTCCGCTTCCTCATCTACTCCGTCCTTCTCAGCAGCAGAAGCGGCAGCAGCAGCACTTTCTGTCTGCGCTTCAGCAGGCAAACGCGCGCCATTTCTCTCGTCCCCAACAACCTCCTTCTCGACTCCCCTCTCGCCTGCACAAAGTCCTTCATCCACCCCTAACCCTGTGTCTGCCTCTACCTCTCCTTCTGCCCCTCCCTCTGCCCCTGCCACTGCCCCTCCATCTGCCTCTGCCTCTGCCCCTACGCCTGTCCTTTCCACAACCTCCAAGTTAGTCTGTACAAGCATTGCAGGCACGCCTTCAAGCCCCGTTTCTCCCTCTGCATTCCCTCCCTCTTCCTTCCCTTCCACGCCCTTCCCTCCCTCCTCCCCTGCGTCCCCCTCCCCAGCTTCACGGCTACCCCCATTCATACCCAGCCCCACCTCCCCCATCATCTCCCTCACACCATTTTCACGCCCCTCTTGCACCTCCACCACTACCCCGTCACCACTCTCTGCCTCCACACACCGCTCTGCACCTGCTGCTGCAGCAGGCATGGGCAGTGGGGGAGGAACGATGGCAGCAGGAGGAGTGGTGGGGAAGGAGAAGGGGGTTGGTGCAGAGACACAGGAATCATCACCTTCTCCTGCTGCTGCTACCCCTGCTACCCCTGCTGCTTCTGCTGCCCCTGCTGCCTCTGCCGCCGCTGCTGTTTCCACTGGCACTCTGATTTCTGCCTTCTCCTCACCTTCTGCAACTACTGCCATGGGCGGACCAGGAGCAGAGGGGGGCGGCAACGCAGCAACAGCGGCATCAAGAGCGGCAGCAGAAGGGGAGGAGGAAGCGGGGGTGTGTGGGATGATGCGAGGAGACAAGGGAGGCAAGCCATGTGCAGCCCCATCTACCCCTGAACCCCCGCTGCCGAACCCACTACCCACACTACCAGGCCCAACCTGCCCCTCCTCCACCATCACCCTCGACCGGCTCCTCTCCCTCCTCCTCCGCCTCTGCTCCCGCCGCTCATTCGCTTCCGCGCCGCTGAGAGCAGCAGCAGCCGCGGCAGAGGCGGCAGCATTGGGCGCGCTTTTGGGCCCTCCTCCCTGCGCCCACGCCTCGCTGTGGTGCTTGGGCGGTATATGCAGCATGTCTGGTCGCACGCGAGACTTGGACCGCCTATGCGAGTGCGACCGCTCTGCCACCTTCCCCTCCCCTCCTGCCTTCCCATCCCCTCCTCCTCCTCCTCCTCCTCCGCCTCCTTTCCCCGTTCCCTCCCCTTTTTCCTTCCCCTCGCCCTCCTTCTCTCCGCCCACCATCCCTCCCTTGCCACCACGCGGGCTCGTAGCACCCAGAGCCGAAAGTCCTGCCCCTCCACCCTCCCCCCACGCCAGCACTCCTGCCAGGTCCGCGCCTGACCGCGACTTGCTGCGGTGCCGCTGGTGCCTGCGCGCCGCAACACTCCCACCTGCCCCCCCTGCTCCCCCTACCGCCCCTGCCGCCGCCGCCGCCGCTGCTGCTGCCGCCGCAGCCCCTTCCCCGCCAGAGCCTCTGGGACTACGCGCGGGGCGGGGGGAAGGCGCAACCCACGCATGCGCACCAGAACGGGGGGAAAAGAGGATGGCAGACGGTGTGCTGGGGATGCTACCGCTGGGCGTGTTGGGGACAGTAAGCGGGGTAAGCACTTGATCAAGGGTGAATTCCCCTGAGCCACAGAAGGCGGCGGAGGAGGAGGCGTCAACGGAAGCCAGAGCAGCGTCTACAGCTAGCAGCGAGTCTGAGTCGAGGAGAGAAGGGGACATCACTGCTCGCGCTAGCAGCTCTCCGCTCGCTGCTGCTCGTGACCTGCTGCGACCCAGTCTCCGCTCCCTGCGAAATGAAGCTGCAGCGGCAGCCGCTGTGCCTGCAGCTGCTGCCCCTGCTGCCCCTGCACCGGCAGCAGCCAGACCACCAAAGGAGCCTGCTTCCAACCCGACGCCTTCTAGCCCTCTCTCCCAGCTAACAGTCCTGCCCGAATCCACCCTGTCCGTTCCTCCCAGCCCTCCCTCCCCCACGGCCACCTGTAACCCCTGCCCCTCGCCCCCTTCATGCTGCTGCTGCGTGCCGCGCTGCTCTGGTGCCGCACTGTCAGCAGCACGCGCCCCCGCTTGCTCCCCATCTCCTCTTCCCTCTGCTGCTACTCCCGGGGAAGAATCCGCACCAGCCGCAGCAGTCGCAGCAGCACCACCAGCAGTAGCGGCAGTATCATGTGGTTTGAGCCAGCTAGACGCGCCCACTGCTCGCCCCAGCACCATATGTGGAGTACTATCGGATACAGACACCGGCACCCCACCTCCCGCGCCTCTCCCTGCGTCTGCGCCATCCCCACCGGGGCTGTCACCACCACCAGGCGACCTATTCAGCTCCTTCTTCCCGCCCGTGCTGCTCCGACGAGCCACCCTCCTGCCGCTGCTGCTGCTCGGCCTCACACACGCAACAACGCCCGCCGCACTCCCTCCTCCCTCCCCTCCTCCAACCTGCTGCTGCTGCCTGCGCGATTCCCGCCCGAACATGCGCGAGGCTCCCCCGAGCAGCCCCGCGGCCGTGGGGGAAACGAGGTCCCAGTCCAGCAGCGACTTCCGCCTGCCCCTGCCCTCCGCGCCGAGCGGAGTGAGAAGCGGCGAGGGCGTGGACTGCGGGGACGACGCTGGGACCGCCCCTGGGCCCTCCGCGCTCGATACACTCGGCACCTTTCCGCCTGCCCCTCCCGAATTAACAGGGCTAGCGAGAGGGCTGGGGGTGCGCGGGAGCAGGGTCTTCTTTGCGGCTTCCTTCCGCCTGTCCAGGGAGAAGGAGAACGATGCGCCCATGAAGCCCCTGGGGCTCGCAGTGGCGGCGTCTGCGGTCTGCGGACGTACTAATGCTGTTGCTGCCGTTGTAATTGTACCTGCAGTTTCTGCTGTCGCCTGCTGCTGCCGCTGCGTCTGACCCTGCGCGCCTCTGCTTCCGCTACTCCGCATCTTCCCCACGGGAGACTTTAGCGTCGATGATTTGGAGGGTCTAGCCTCGCTGCTCTCCGCACCCACCCCCATGTCTTCCCCACTGTAACACATCTCCCCGCTGGTAACCCCACTTCCGGAGCCAGATGCGGAGGATCCGACAGAGCGCCGAAGCGCGTTGAACTTCCACATACCCTTTTTAAGCGCCGCTGCCACCCCGCCTCGCGCGTGCCCGTCCACCGGGGAGAGCACAACGGGGGAAAGCATCTGCTCCGGCGTCACATCGCCCGCGCTCGCGCCTGCGGCGGGGGGAGTTCTTCCGCCGTCCGCGGTTGCGCCTGGGGAGTCGAGCGCGGCGGGGGGTGGGAAATCGGTGGTGGAGGACTTGCGGAAGAGCCCGTGGAAGCGGGAGGCGGTGCGTGGGGTGTGATGCGGCGTGTGATGCTGGGAATGCGCCTGCGCGTCATTGCCTTGCGTGGATTGCGAGCCGTGTTGCTCAGGAGTGGTGGCATTAATAGCCGCAGTAGTAGTAGTAGTAGCAGCAGCAGTGGTGGTATTAGCGGGCTCGGCGCGCTTGTGAGGGTCGCTGCTGCCGTCATGCGAGACCAGCAGCGCGAGCTTGCGGCTCTTACTGTTGTACCACTTGCGAAATGTCGCGTCCGTGCCCTCGCCTTCGTCGCGATCGCGATGCGACGACCCATGCTCCTGCTGCTGCTGCGACGAAGGTTCTACCGACGTTCCTTTGCCTTTGCCGTGGTGCTTCTTTCCCCCATCCAGGCTTCTCCGCCTCTCCTTTCCATGCTTCTCCTTGCCGCTGCTGCTCTTCTCCTTGCCGCTGCTCTTCTCCTTCCGAGGCGGGTCGGGAGACGACTTCCCGACCACCGCACTCTCACCGCGAATCTCGGCGAGCATTGCGGCTGGTTCGAGAAGGGAACCCGGGGCAGGGATTATGGAGCAGGGAGCAGACGTGCGGTCTCAGCTCTGAGTGCTCAACGGTGGTTCGCGAGGCAGACTGCACGCGGGCAGCCGAAGGCTGGATCGAAACGGTCAAAGGGCTCATGGACAGCGTATGCCAAGCGGTAGTGCAGACTCGCCGGCATACGCGGTTTTTTTGGAATGTCTATCAAATGCTATGCGAAGACATGGAGAGATTCAGCGGCTCGCAACGTCTAGCATTGCCAACGAACGACATTTCCATAAATGTTGAGAGACGTGGCTTTGATGAACGGAGGCGGAACGAACGCCGCTGCTGGCGTGGCTGCAGTGCTGACGGGAAGAACTCGATGGTGTCTCGAAAGACTGCTTGCTCTCCTCGCTGTTCTTGTGTTGGGGGTGTTGATGTAGGCGTATCAGCATGAGAAGCAGCATAGGACTGCAGCCATGAAAATGAGCACACACGCAGCAAACCCTAACCAATGAATGGTTGTTATGGTTTGGAAATGGATGGATCCAAGGTCCACGACGGTGTACATACATCATTACTTGCTCGCACAACTGCTGCTCATAACGACAACTCCGCTCGCACATCACGAAATGAGGTCGTGGAATGGAGGAACTAACCTGTACAAAATTTTAGCATCAAATACTATGATTCATAATAGGCTATTCTAGCACCAATTCCTGGGCTGGAATATCTTATAAGGTCCATCATGTGTAATCATTAATATACATTGTAGTGATTTTTTTTCTTGTCATGCCTGTTCACATCTATAATATATCGAAGGAGGGAAACAATAAGTCTATTATGATGCTTATTTATACAGAAAAATTCAAACAACATGTGTTAGTGGTGGAATGCATTTAAGTAACACAGAAATACAACGAAATATTACAAATATTACATTTGGGTTCAGAGGCTCGCAACATGCCACATTCCAGCGCTGAGGCGGAGGCTTGGGCTGTGCTTGTAACGGAGATATTTGGATAATGAATTATTGCCCCTGGCACGTGTTTGACGAATTCGTTGCACTCGACACGCAGCAAATGCCAAATTCCCCTTTCCACGTCAATGTTGGATGAAGACGAGCATTGAGAGGATTGGAGAGGATAACATGGCGCTGCTCTCTAGTGTAATTGAAATTCAGCACATTGCGGGGGGAATAAAACGTGACAGCATCTTTCCTTCCGCTGACAGCACGAGCTACACTCTTTGCATGTGAATATGAATGTCACGGCGGCCTCCCCACAGAGTCATACAATCGTAGACATTGCGCTGGGTATCTCGCCGAATGAGACCGTGAGGCTATACAACAGCTGGCAGAGCATGATGGAAGGAGCAGCATTACTAATTTCAGCGGAGCACCATGGGTCCGAAGAGTCCCTGCGAAACGGCTTTTGGAAATCAAATGGTGGCTCACGGAGCGAGGCTGAAGCACGGAGCGAGGCTGAAGCACGGAGCGGCGAGGCTGCTCCAGTTGCGCCTGGCACTCCCATGAGCACCATCACGGCTCCTCATCTCCAGCCTGAACACCTAGGGAACTCCGAAACTGACGTGGCAGCATGGAATTCGTCGCCCGTGCCCTCCGCCGGCCGTCAGTCGCAGCGGTTGCGGGAGGTCGGGCGCGTGCACTGGCGGGCGGGGCGCGACGGACTGGCGGGAACCCGGGTGGAGTTTGGCGGAGTGGCGCTGACGCTGGGAGCGACACGCGTGGAGGAAGACAAAATGGGGGAAGAAGGTTCCGGAAGGGAAGGGAGGGGAAGGGGAAGGGGAGGGGGAAGGGGAAGGGAAGCGCGAAGTGGAACGGGAGGGGGAACGGGAACGGGAGGGGGAAGGGGAATGGGAGAGGGAAGGGGAAAGGGAGAGGGAAGGGGAAGGGGAGAGGAAAGGGGAAGGGGAGAGGGAAGGGGAGAGGGAAGGGGAAGGGGAGAGGGAAGGGAGGGAAGGGGAAGGGGAGAGGGAAGGGGAAGTGGAGAGGGAAGGGGAAGGGGAGAGGGAAGGGGAAGGGGAAGGGGAGAGGGAAGGGGAATGGGAGATGAAAGGGGAAGTGGAGAAGGAAGGGGGAGGGGAAAGGGAAGAGGAAGGGGAGAGGGAAGGGGAAGTGGAGAGGGAAGGGGAAGGGGAGAGGGGAGGGGAAGGGGAGGGGGAAGGGGAAGGGGAGGGGGAAGGGAAAGTGGAGCGGGAAGGGGAAGGGGAGAGGGAAGGGGAAGTGGAGAGGGAAGGGGAAGGGGAGAGGGAAGGGGAAGGGGAGAGGGAAGGGGAAGGGGAGAGGGAAGGGGAAGGGGAGAGGGGAGGGGAAGGGGAGAGGGAAGGGGAATGGGAGAGGGGAGGGGAAGGGGAGAGGGAAGGGGAATGGGAGAGGGGAGGGGAAGGGGACGAGGGAAGCGATCGTTGGCACTACTGATGGGTGAAAGGAGTGATATGGGAGGAAGAAGTATGCGTCAAAGGGTGGGTGAAGTGGATGTGGTGGGTAGGATGGGCGAGGAGGGCGAGGAGGGTGAGAGTGCAGTGACGAGGAACGATGGGGGCCACGTGCATGTTGCAGCAGCAGCAGCAACAACAGGGGCAGGAGCAGGAGAAGCAGCAGCAGCAGCAGGTGCAGGGGCAGGGACAGCTGTGGCGGAGTGCCAGTCTATCGCTGAGTGGGTGTTGAGATGGGGGGGGACTAGTGTACGGAAGAGGAGGAAGAGCGCGTGTGAGGAGGCAGTGACAGTGTTGGTTGCTGATGCTGGTGGTGATGCGACCTTAACGACTGTGGTCGCAATGGTTTCCACTCATGCATGCACATTCGAGGGTATGGTTCATATTCCTGCCCCTCCTGCTGCCCCTCCTGCTGCCCCTCCTGCTGCCCCTCCTGCTGCCCCTCCTGCTGCCCCTCCTGCTGTCCCTCCTGCCGCTGCTGCTTTAAGCGCAGCTGCAGCTGGCGACAGCATCGCCATTGAGGCAGTCGCGGATGGTACAGCTGGCATGGAAGTGGTTAGCTCGCATGGAGGAGATGGCTGTCTAGGCGACGATGGTGATGGCATGGAGCGCAATGGAATTGACCTGGAGCCAGGGGGGTGTGAAGGGAGTGGGGAGGCGGAAGTGAGGGAGGCGGAAGTGAGGGAGGCGGAATTGAGGGAGGCGGAATTGAGGGAGGTGGAATTGAGGGAGGTGGAATTGAGGGAGGTGGAATTGAAGGAGGCGGAATTGAGGGAGGCGGAATTGAGGGAGGCGGAATTGAGGGAGGCGGAATTGAGGGAGGCGGGTGGAAGTCTGGGAGGAGGAGTTGGGTCATGGCAAGATGAGGGTCAGAATGCAAGGGGTTTTGAAGAAGTAGCTTCCACTCCTGTTGGCCTGTCTTCCAGCCAGCCTATTGTGACAAGCTCAAATGTACATGCCCATGCGCATGTACATGCCCATGCGCATGGATATGATAATGCTGAACCTTTGACACAGAAAGGCCATGCACACGCCTCCTCCCCCACCCGCCCACCTGCCATCCCGCACTTACCCCATCCCATGCCACCTCCGTCCACTCCCTTGCCTGCGGCATCATCGCCTCTTGTGTCACCTTCTACTAGCCCCGATTCTCTCCATACCACAGTCCCCCTTGCCGCCTCCACTTCGCCTACTCCTCCGCACACTCCTTCTATTTCCTCTATTGCTCCTATCCCTCCTGCTTCTAATATTTCTCCTACGGCTCCTATATCTCCTAATTTTTCTATGCCGTCCCTACTTTCCCGTCCACCACCTTCGGCTCCCCTCATGCAACCACCAGCACCGCACGCCCACCCACCTTCACCCTTTTCAAGCCCATCTGCACCGCTGCCTCGCCCAGCTGTGCTGCACTCGCTCTCACCGCACAGCAGCAGCAACAGCGGCAGAGGCTCGTTGGACCTGAACCTGCCGCCGTCTGCTGCAGACAGCACTGACTCGTCATGGCTCCATGCTCCTAAAGGCAAGCGCAGGAACCGGAGCAAGGGGCAGGACGGCTGCAACGGCTGCATGGGCGGGCTGTCCTCCCCTTCACCCATGCACCACCCTCCTCCTGCTTCTCCTGCTCCCGCTCCTCCTGTTCCTCCTCCTCCTGCAACTCCTGCTCCTCGTGCTCCTCCTGCTCCTCCTGCCCTGCATGCATCTCCTGCCTGTGCTGCGCTCTCTCCCGCTCCTGCTGCGTCCCCCTTCCACACAGCGGAGCGTCATGCCAACCCTCCTCCTCCTCACAACACCCCCACTCCCCATTTGTCCACGCCCACCCATCACAGCTCTCCTTTCTCTCCACCCACTTTCCCTGCTACTCCTCCATCACTCCTTCCTCGCCCCTCTGCCACTTGCTTCTCCCCCTCGACCACTCGCATGTCTTCCTTCTCTCTCCCACCTGCTGTCATCGGCTCCCCTTTTCGTCCTCTCAGGATCAGTCACCTTCTCTTCCCTTCTCCCACCACCGCCCCCGCTGCAACTGCCGCCCCCACTGCCCCCACCACTGCCACTGCCACCGCTGTTTCCACCACCAACCCTTGGGCCTCTGCTGCCGCTTGCGTCACCAAATCAGCTCTTCCAACGTGGAACAACAGAGATGCGCATGCAGGGGACTGCCCTGTGACTAGCTCGTGTGCTGCTGCTGCCCCTGCTGCTGGTTCTGCTGGTGCTGCGAATGTGGGAGTAAGTATAGGAATTTGTGCTTTGGATGATGAGGGTGCGTTGGAGAATGTGCCGCTAGCCATACGTTGGCTGTCACAGCAGGGCAGAAAACGTGGGGGGTGCGATGGGGAGGAGGACGAGAGTGAAGGGGAGAAGGGGAAGGAAGGCGATGAGATGGAGGTGGAGAGCGAGGAGGGGGAGGAGAGCAGCAGAGAAGAAGAGGTACTGGGGAATGGCAGTGGTGGCGAGGAGGCAGAAGCAGCTAATGGAAACGGCAAGTCGACTCAGAAGCACAGATCACAACGGCAAGGGCGGAAGGCAGGAGAAGGAGGCGGAAGAGGAAAAGGGGATGGAGTGGGGACGGAGGGCGAGAAGGGGAAGGACGAGAAAGGGGGGGTTCAAGGGCGTGGGGGGGACTTGGAGAACGTGGGAGGCGATGGGAACGGGAAGGAAGGCAAAGGGAGGCTGAAGAGGAAGCGGCACCCACGGCCTAAAGTGGTGCGGGATGGTGGGATGGCGGGGGGAGGTGCAGGGGGGGTTGCAGGGGGGGGTGCAGGGGGGGAAAGAGGAGAAGGAGGAGGACAAAGTGCTGGGAAGAAAAAGGGTGACGCTGGGAACGGGAGCGTGAGGAATGGGGCTGGTGGAACGGGGGGTAATGAAGGCTCGGGTGGGGTGGTTGGTGGGAAGAAGAAAGTTGGGAAAGGGAAGAAGGGTCAGGTAGCGGCAAGGGAATCAGGGGATGTAGAGAAAGGGGGCAGAGGAGGGAATGGAGGGGATGGGGCAGTGCGTGTTGGAGTGAAGGGGGATGGTGCATGCGGTGGCGGAGTAGGATATAAGGGAGTGGCAGCAGTAGCTTCTGCTGCTGCTGCTGCTGCTGCTGCTGCTGCCGCCGCCGCCGCCGCTGCTGCTGCTGCCGCTGCCGCCGCCGCTGCCGCTGCCGCTGCCGCCGCCGCTGCCGCTGCCGCTGCCGCTGCCGCTGCCGCTGCCGCTGCCGCTTCTTCTTCTGATGCTGCCGCCGGTGCTGCTGCTACCTCTGGCGATGCCGCAGTGGATGGCCATTCGTTCCGTCCACCCCTGCATCCTTCCGCACCACTCCCCGCTTCTGCATCCGTACACCTGCAGCATTCACAACAACAGGTGCTGCAGCTGTCGCAGCAGCAGGTTTTCCCGCCGTCACAGCAGCAAGTGTCGCAGCAGCTAGTATCGCAGCAGCCAGTATCGCAGCAGCAGCAGCAGGGGTGGCAGCAAGTCGTGGTCTCAAGGCAGCTGATGCCACAAGTCGTGGCGGCATTGAAAGAGAGCGTAGCAACCTCATTCACCACACAGTATGATCCACCAATCCTTGCATCTTTGCAAGGCCCAATCCGCATTCCTGCGAACCTGTTGTTGATCCCATCCCACATGCCCTCTACACCCCCCTGTGCCACAGTCGGGCAGAACACTGCTTGCACTGCTCACACTGCTCGCACCGCTCGTGCTCGCACTGCTTGCACAGCTTACAAAACTCGTACAAATGGTACAGATTGTACAGGTAGAACATATTGTACACATTGTGCAGATGGTATACAACCTACATCAACCCTTGCTCTTCGTCCCACACTCGCCGCCACGCGCACTCGTGCCAATAGCTCTCCTCTCCCACCCGCACCACCCCCTGTGCTCTCTTGCACTCTCGCCTCTCCTGGTGTCCATCATCCTGTTGCTGCCTCTCAGGCCTCCGCCCCTCTTCACTCTTTTCCTTCCGCAAACTCAAATGCCCTGTACCAGACTCCTGCCGCTTCAATCCCTACCGCTGATCCCCCTCCTATCCGCTGCAGCCCTCCAACAGCCCACCAGCCACTCGATTCTCCACTCCTTTCCCCATTCCCTTCTGCTTCCGATTCCTGTCAGTCCCCTCCAATTGCTTCCCCTGCGGCCTCTCTACATCCTCCACCAAGGCGAGAGCTCTTCTCCTCCTCCACATCCACCTCTATCCAAAAGCTTCCGTCCAAGACCACTTGGCCTTGCCCCCGCACCCTTGAAGGCCCCTCCACACCTCTTCTCTTGCCATCACGGCTTCCTCCCGTCGCCCTTGCTCCCCAGAACGCCCCTCCCTCCCCAGCTTCGCCATTCATGCTTAACTCGCTTATTCCTCCTGGCCCTGCACCATCTCTCACCTCACCACCTCGCCCTGTCCTTTATTCCCGCCCAGAACTGTTCACGTTAACTCCTCCTCCTCCTCTTCCTGAACCTCATGCTCCCTCAGTGCTAACTATCCCTCTCGCTCTCCCCCTGCCATCACCACTGCCTGTGCCTTCACATACCCTTGCGCTTACCTCAACAGGTCAATCCTTCCCCTCAAACCCACTCCTCCCTTTACACCTCCCTTCACACCTCCCTTCACATCTCCCTGCACACCTCACCGTGCAACCTCTCCCCGCTGCAATGGCTGCCCGTGCAGTAGCAGCAGCACATCCCCAGCTGCATCAACCAGCACCAGCAGCACTGGCACTGACTCACGCAGTGCAAGACTCTTCTGAGGCGCCTCTAAACTCTGCCCGTGCACGAGCAGCAGCACATCCTCACCTGCACCAGCAACCAGCACCAGCAGCAGTGGCTCACGCAGTGCAAGACTCATTTGAAGCGCCTCAAAACTCTTCCCGTGCACGAGCAGCAGCAAATCCTCGGCTGCATCAATCCGCACCACTAGTAGTGACTCGAGCGGTTCAGAACACCCCAACAGCACCAGCGCGAGGCAGCAAGGCGATGACAGTGCCTGACAATCTGACATGGGTGGGAGAGCGGTTCAGAGTGATTGAGAGGGTGGAAGTTGGCAGAGAGGTCAGACCCTCAGTTCCTGTGACTGGTGCCGTGATTGGTAAGGTAGGGATGAGGGATGGGAGGCACATGGGCGATGGGATGATGCAATCAGGAAGCCGACTGCAGGTGGTAGGTCAGGTGAGAGTGGCACCAGGACAAGGTGTGCAAGTGGGTCCTTCCGCTGCTGCTGCTGCTGCCGCTGCTGCTGTTGGTGTTCCTGCTGTTTCTCCTGCTGCAGTACCTCCTGCTATTGCTGCCACCCCGGCTGCACATGTGCAAGCTCTCTCACCCAAAACGCCAGCACCCCAAGCATCAAAACCACAGGCAGCTGCAGCAGCAGCAAGGGCAGCAGCAACAGCAACAGCAGCAGCAGCGGCGGCGGCAGCAGCATCCCCTACTCCTGCGTGCATGCAGCTAGCAGTGCGAGCAACCCTACCCATGCAGCCTACCCGGAGCAAGGCCAAGCCCGGCAAGGGCAAACCCGACAAACACACACGCCCAAGAGTGCAGTTCGACTCAGAGACAGAAGGGCAGAGGGGCGGCAAGGCGGTGCCGGTGGGCATGCTGGAGTGGGCTGAGGCGCTGGAGGGGCTGGAGAAGGACAAGTGGAGCGAGGCGCAGCGGCAGCTAAGGGAGAACGTGGATGTGTTCATCCGGCGCATGCGCTTCGTGCAAGGTCGGTGGGTGGGTGGGTGGGTGGGTGGGTGGGTGGGTGGGTGGGTGGGTGGGTGTGTGGGTGGGTGGGTGGGTGGGTGGGTGGGTGGGTGGGTGGGTGGGTGGTTGGGTGGGTGGCTGGGTGAGTGAGTGGGTGGTTGGGTGGGTGGGTGGGTGAGTGGGTGGGTGGTTGGGTGAGGGGGTGGGTGGTTGGGTGAGTGGGTGGGTGGGAGACTTGGGAGGTCAAATCATGAGTCGACTCAAAAGTCACAGCGACAGCTGCGGGAGAACGTGGATGTGTTCATTCGGCGCATGCGCTTCGTGCAAGGTCGGTGTTCCAGTAGGAGGGTGGGTGGGAGGGGGGGGTGGTGGATGGAAAGTGAGGAGGAGGTTGTTGAGGGCGTGGATGTGTTCAGTCAGCACGTGCGCTTTGTGCAAGGTCAGTGGGCGGATAGTGGGAGGGCGGGCCGCGGGACGGTTGGTGGAGGGGTTTGTTCCTTGTTTTAGTCGTTGTTAACGACAAGAGTTCGAGCTTTTCAGAATCTCGGTTTTGCTGGTTTTTTTTAGCTTTACAAGTCTTTCCTACTTGCGTAAACCATCTCCTTAGCAGCACAGCTCACTGGAATTATGTCAGAGGATTTTCTTGAGTTCCTCGCTGAAGAGCGTAACTCACGCCCATTTCTTGGCATCTTGCGTGTGCGTGTGCGTGCAGGTGACCGGCGGTTCAGCCCATGGGGAGGGTCCGTGCTGGACTCAGTGATAGGGGCGTTTCTCACTCAGAACGTCAGCGACCATGCCAGCAGGTGCGACCATGCCAGCAGGTGCGACCATGCCAGCAGGTGCGACCATGCCAGCAGGTGCGACCATGCCAGCAGGTGCGACCATGCCAGCAGGTGCGACCATGCCAGCAGGTGCGACCATGCCAGCAGGTGCGACCATGCCAGCAGGTGCGACCATGCCAGCAGGTGCGACCATGCCAGCAGGTGCGACCATGCCAGCAGGTGCGACCATGCCAGCAGGTGCGACCATGCCAGCAGGTGCGACCATGCCAGCAGGTGCGACCATGCCAGCAGGTGCGACCATGCCAGCAGGTGCGACCATGCCAGCAGGTGCCACCATGCCAGCAGGTGCGACCATGCCAGCAGGTGCCACCATGCCAGCAGGTGCGACCATGCCAGCAGGTGCCACCATGCCAGCAGGTGCCACCATGCCAGCAGGTGCGACCATGCCAGCAGGTGCCACCATGCCAGCAGGTGCGACCATGCCAGCAGGTGCCACCATGCCAGCAGGTGCGACCATGCCAGCAGGTGCGACCATGCCAGCAGGTGCCACCATGCCAGCAGGTGCGACTATGTCTCCCCATCCTCTGCCTCGCCTCTCTGTGCTCCTTTGCTCTGCCCTGCAACAATCGGTCACTCAAACACATTCTCCGAATCCTCAAACAATCTCTCAAGGGTACTCATACCCGTTTTCTTGGCTCCTGCTCACCTTCATCAACCCTTCATCAACTTCTACCCGTCCTCTTCGCCCCATTACGTCATATATTATACCACCCACCACCGCAGCTCTGCCTTCATGCTCTTGGCGTCTCGCTTCCCCCCCAAGAGGCCCAATGGAGACCAAAAGGGTACGCCAACACCAGCTCAACACACGGATGGTCCTCAGAAGCCTGCTGCTGCTTCTTTTGAGGCGCCTCAAAAGAAGCCTGCTGCTGCTGCTTCCCAGCAGCCTGCGCCCAGCAATCAGCCTGGAGCAGCAGCTGCCTCTGCACCTGGTGCTACAGCTGCCTCAACGCCTGGCGCTACAGCTGCCTCTGCACGTAGCGCTATAGGGAAGGAGAGAGGGGATGGTAGCGGGAACGCAGGAGAGACCGCAGGGAAGGATGTGGGGTTGCTGGCTGCGCTGTGCTCTGCTGTGGGGCAGCTATCTCTGAAAGACAGAGCTCCGGCCCCTCACTCTGACCAGCGTCACAAGGTTCCCAGTCCGCTGTGCGGCGCTGATACCATGTTAGCAGCACATGGGGCAGGAGCTGGGGAGCACGGGCAAACCGAAGGGGGTGAAGCAGGGAAGGAGAGAGGAGTCGGGGAATGTGGACGGACGGAGGAAAGGGAGAGTGGAAGGGGAGAGGAGGGTAGTGGAGGGAAGCAGGTGGGCAGGGAAGGAATGGAATGTGTGCCGCAGTTGCAGGATGGAAGAGATGGCAAGGGCGACGGGGATGGTTGCCGGCTAGGTGAACGAGGCGATGCAGTGAAGACTGGAGCTGTGAAGATGAAGACATTGGTTGAAGTGCTGGCACAAGGGGAAGACTCGGTGATTCGAGGGCAGCACGGGGTGCCGGAGATTGTTGAGAATCCTCCAAACGCTCCTGCAGATCCACATGAAGCAGTGAAGGTGAAGCCATTGGTTGAAGTGCTGTCACAAGGCAAAGACACAGTGAACCCAGGGCAGCAAGGCGTGCTGGAACTGGAAGAAGGTAGTAAGGGCACGTGGACTGCACTTGAATACACCGCACGGGCAGTGCGAGAGGAGAAGGCTGGTGGATTTAAGGTGTCTGGTGGGAAAAAGGGGGCGCTGCAGCAGCAGCAGCAGGAGCAGCGGGTGCGGGAGTGGGAGGAGATGCGGCAGCAGGTGCTGGTGAGGATGAGGAGGGAGGAGAGGCGGAGGGAGAGCGAGAGGAGGGAGGCGGAGGAGTATGGGATGCGGTTTGAGGAGGTGCCGTGTGTGCGCGTGGTGGAAGTGATGGAGTTGGTGGGAGGGGAGGGTGTGGTGGGGGATGATGAGACACGCTTGGTTGTTGGAGAAGTGGAAGGAATGGAAGGAGTGGGAGGAGTGAGAGGAGTGGATGTGGGAGGACTGGTAGGAGTGGGAATGGAGATGGATGGAGAGGGAATTGGTGATGTGACGAGATTGGAAGGGGGTGATGAGGTTAGGGCAAGACTGGAAGGCACAGAAAAATTAAGTTCGAGTCTGCTCTCTGTTATTTCCCCTGCTACTGGTGCCAATGCTGCTGGTGATGGTGATGGTGATTGTGGTGCTGGTGCTGGTGCTGATGCTGATGTCGATGCTGCTGGTGGTGGTGATGCTGCTGCTGCTGCTGCTGCTGCTGCTGCTGCTGCTGCTGCTGCTGCTGCTGCTGCTGCTGCTGCTGCTGCTGCTGCTGCTGCTGCTGCTGCTGCTGCTGCTGCTGCTGCTGCTGCTGCTGCTGCTGCTGCTGCTGCTGCTGCTGCTGCTGCTGCTGCTGCTGGTGCTGCTGATGGCGACAGTGACACAAACATGGGTGATCGCAAGTTTACAGACCACCCACAGCAGGCACATCACATTGCAAGTGACAGTACCCTACTGGGAGCAGCCGTGATTGGGCTGACTGATGGGGCGTCAGGGGGAGGGAAGGAGGTGCAGGAGTGTGTGGACTGGCATGCGGTGTCGCAGACAGATGTTGTGTCGCTGGCTCGCATCATTGCCGATAGAGGCATGTCTGCCATGCTGGCCGGAAGGATCAAGGTAGGCTGGAATCACTTTTTGAAAGCTCTCAAAAGGGAAGTAGGGAGGTGCACGAGTGTGTGGACTGTCATGCAGTGTCGCAGACAGATGTGGTGATGCTGGCTGGCGTCATTGCAGACAGAGGCATGTCTGCCATGCTGGCCGGACGAATCAAGGTAGGCTACGCTCGGATCATGAGCACATTCCCAACATTCCGCCACCAGGTGCCTCCTGCTAGTTATCCTCTCGATTTACCGCAGTACCACCCACCACAACCCATCCTTTAAAATGCCATTGCTTCTGCACGCTGAGTCTTGTCCGCTGGTCATTACTTGTATAACCCATGTTTGAGGGCCCCATCATCCCCACCCCTCCCTTCCCATCCCATCCTCCTTTTCACCCATCATCAGGCTCTCCTGACTCGTCTACAGACACAGCACGGCTCGCTCAGTCTTGAGTGGCTGCATGCATTGCCTGTCAGACTCGCACAGTCAGTCCACCGTTTCCCCTCTGTTCCCTCACCCTCCCTCCCTCCGGCCTTCACTTGTTGCCCTTTACTCTGTGTGCCCACCTGCCCGCCCGTCCATATGTCAAAATAGTGCACTGTACCTCCGTAGCTTTCCCCACCCTGTTCCATGCTGACCCATCCCATCCCACCGCCACCCTTTACCGCCTATCTCCTCTGCCTTTCTCTCAACCCTGGTCTACCGTTTTTCCCGTGTGTGTGTGTGTGTTGCCGCCATGCATGCGAGCAGGGAGTTCCTAGTGAGCATCAGGGGCATGGGGCTCAAGAGCACCGAGTGCATCCGCCTCCTCTGCTTGCGCCACCTTGCCTTCCCTGTGAGTTGATTAGCTAGCTGCATAGCTCGTCAGCTTATTGACTAGCTAGTTACTTTGAGAGGTGCCTCAAATAACCTCGTCCATCCCTACTGTCCCTCTCAATGCTATACGACCCCCAGGGTGGACACAAACGTGGGCCACGATTGTGTGTGCCTCTGGTAATACTAAAAAAATCCGTTCGTTCCTCCTGTCCTGTCCTTCGGAACGCTGTACAACCAAACCAAACCGCCAGGTGGACACCAACGTGGGGCGCATCTGCGTGCGCCTGGGGTGGGTGCCCCTGGAGCCCCTGCCACACGACCTGCACCTTCACCTGCTGGAGCAGTAAGTTTGGGGGCCCTCAGGGGTAGTAAGTTGGGAAGCTGACTGTTGAATCGACTCAAAAGTTAAAACTTTGGGGGCCCTCAGGGGAAGTAAGTTTGGAAGCTCCACTTGCGGCTGGATCCAGAATCTGCTTTAGCAGGGTGATGCAATCCGAGTACAACACTCACCCTGTTGAGTACTTCCTGAGCCCTGACCATCAAGCCCTCATTCACGCTCGCTTCACTGATTCATGCTCCGTCACCTCTCATGCTCTTTTCACTAGTTCGGTCTATCCTAGTCTCTGTTTACAACTCCCACACTAACAGAGACAGCAGAGTGACTTTTGAGACGTCTCAAAAGTTTAGAAGCGAGTGTGGGAGTAGGCAGCAGAGTGCCCTTCGTGCACTTGCTGCTCCAGCAGGGGCAAGGGCAGGTCGTTCAGGAGCACCGTATATTGAACTTCTGAAGGCAATCTTCCAGGCATTTCAAAACTCATGCTGGGCCAATAAGATTTGGGGACGTCTTGTAGCATGGGCGTGAGCATGCTTATGCGCTGAGCGGGGAACGATTATGCAAACAATCTACCGAAACATCTGCTGGAGAAGAAATCGGGCTGCGTATGGGCTGGATATCGAGCTGAATTTCCATCTCGCCCGCAGCACTCAAGAATCACTGCCCTGCCACGAAGTTTGAGACATGTAATGTTTTAAGAAATATCCGACAACTCCCTTAGTCCTTTGGTCTTGCCCCCCCCGCCTCCCTCCCTTCCCCAGGTACCCAGTTCAGGAGAGTCTACAGCGGTACCTGTGGCCACGGCTATGCGGCATGACACAGGAAATGCTGTCAGTGACTCAGAGCACAGGGCGTGGCATGGCATGACATGGCATGGCATGGCATGGTTCAGCATGAATTGGCATGGTGTGGTATGGCATGGGATTGGGTAGCATGGCCTGACAAGGGCTGGCATGGGTTGGCATGCATTGGCATGACGTGGCGTGGTGTGGCATGGCATGGCCTGCCTTGTCCATGGTCCCTCCTTGTGCAAACCTTGCTCGCCCTCAACACTGCACTGCGCCATGCTGCTAGCTCGCTTTGCCCAGCTTTGTCATCTCTCCTCGTGTCATCGTGCATGATCCTTCGCTCTGTCCCTCTCCCTCCGTCTGTCGCTGTCGTGACGACATGCCATCGCTTCCCGTCCTCTGTGTGCCTCCTTTGCCCCCCCTTCTTCCCCCCAATCCCCAATGCAGCTACGAGCTTCACTACCATATGATCACCTTCGGAAAGGTGACTCTTCACAGCACAAACACAGAAGTAGTAACAGCAGTTGCACCCCTCAGCATCACCTGCCTGTTCAACCAGTCTTGTCTCGCATGCCACAAGATTCGTCGCTCCGCAACAGCCCACTGAGTTCCTCTGAGTGCTCTCTCAACCTCCTCTGACCTCCTTTTACTTTGTCTAGCTTCCACTAACGTTTCACCTGTAGTCCTCTGTCGTCTAATAACCTGCATGCATCCTTCCTCAAAAGCACTAAATCAGTCTTCCATCATCCCATCCCCCCTACCCACACCACACCACCGCCCTGCACGGCACGGCATGGCGCACGGCGAGCGCAGGTGTACTGCACGAAGCGCAGCCCCAACTGCATCGCGTGTCCCATCAACGACAAGTGCCAGCACTTCAACAGCGCCCTCAATGCGTACGCCCCTTTCACCCAACTCCCCTCCCCACCTCTCTCTACCTCTCCCCACCTCTAATCTCCCTCTCCCTGCCTTTGTTTTTTATATGACCTTCCGCGTCCTTCTTGTGCCCTCGACTTTCCTGTATTTTAATCCCAGCAATCAAATCCCAACACCTCGAGTTGCTCCCTTATCTCGTGCCCCCCCAATCCCTCCCAGAAACCGCCCTCTTCTCGCATCAGCCCCTCAAGGCAACACCAGCCGCAGTGCTGGTGAAGCGGGAGGCACACCGGGGTCCAGGAGGGAAGCAGCAGGGGGGGTTAACCAGGGGATGAGTGACAGTGGAACGGTGAGAGGTACTGGAGCAGTTAATACTGGTGGTGTGTTGACCGTTGGGGGTGGAGGGGGTGCGAGGGCTGAAAGGGCATCACCTGCTGCTGCTTCTGCTGCTGCTGCCAGAGAAGTGGCCGCAGCAGCAGTCACTGAGCATGGTTGGGGTGCCTCAGCCAGCAGGAGTGGGAGCCACGTGGTGAGGAAGTTCAGAACAATGACACAGCTGCTTCATGCACAGTGCCCGCAACAGGAGCAACAGCAGCAGCAGCAGCCACAGCAGAAGCCATGTGGTGTGTACCATTCAGAAACCACAGTTACTGCCGGAACAGCTGGAGGGAGCCCAACAGCGTTGCTATTGAATGCACAGGCAGCAGCTGCAGCAACACCACCACCACCACCACCGCCGCCAGCAGCAGCAGAAAATCATTTTCCCCTAGCTGGACCCTCAGCAATGCATGCCATTCCTCCTCCGCGGATAGCACTCACGAAGCGTGGCCCTTGCCCCCAGGTATCACCTGCCCAGTTGGCGCCTAGCAAGGCCATAGCAGGGGATGTGAGTGCGTGCGGTGAGGGAAACAGGCAGGGACTCACAACAAGCATGGTGGAGGGTCCGTGGGAGAAGATTGTGTTGATTCCACAGATGCGAATGCAGACGCCAGTGCAGATGCAAATGCAGACGCCAAATGTGATGCCAAATCAGATGCCGACACAGGCGCATGCACCAACACCACAACAACTCACTTTAACACCTCATTTGCAAGCGCTAACCCCACCGGCACTGGCACGGGCGCAGGCACACGCACAGGCGCAGGCACAGTCAAACATGGCAGCAGGATCAGGTTCAGGGGCAGAGCGCGGGAATGGCGCCCCCATGTTTTGCACTGAGGGAGTGTTTCCAAGAACGCACGCAAGCAGCCCACTGGGTGGCGAGACGGAGAGGAGAGCAAGGGAGCAGGAATATGGAGAGAACAGCAAAGTGCTGGCTGAGAAAGAGGGTGGGGACACAGCAGGTGTCAGGGCCAATGGCCGGAAATGGGCTGCAAGAGAGGGCAGTGGGGGATTGAGTCGCACAAAGGAGTTGGATTCGCGCGAATGGGTGATGTCCAGTGCGGTGCCTGTGGTGGAAGAACCAGGCAGCCCTGTTTCAGCTACGCGTGAAGAAACTCCGTACGAAAGCACAAAGAGACAGGCGCCTCAAGACATGCCCGTGGTGGATGAGCCACGCAGACCAGTAGGAGGCAAGCGAGGTGTTGTGAGGGTTACGCGCAGGGGTGGAGGGGAGGTGGGAAATGCAGGGGATGGGGAGCAAGGCGGGATGGTGTTTGTGGGGGACGGGATGAGGGGAGGCAAGGAGGGGGGGCGTGATGATGGTCATGCGGGTAATGGTGTGCATGATGGTGTGAATGACACTGGGCGAGAATCATCCTGCGGTGGGGATGAGGATGAGGATGAGGATGAGGATGAGGACAGGAGCAGGGCGGTGGTGCTGATACCAGAGGACGTCGCAGCGTGCATGCGCCCCCCGCCTCTCAAGGCGGCTCAGCGCCTGCGCACCGTGCACTGCGTGTGAGTGAGCCTCCATGCACCACCCACTGTCTTTCCCAAGGCTTCGCTCGTGCCTTGTCCACCCACGCTTGCCGTGCTCTCAATGTCAGTCAGCCAAGCCGAGGCGAGTATGCCAGTGTTCTACCTAGATTGACGTTTGAGAGTTCCCAACAATTCAACTATGGCAGTGTGGGAGCTCCAGGAATTCTTCACTAATCCTTTCTTGCCCGCGCACCACACACCTTTCATCACGCTTTATGCGTAATGTCTATTCATGCATCATGCACCATGCATCATGCACCATGCACCATGCACCATGCACCATGCACCATGCACCATGCACCGTGCATCATGCACCATGCACCATGCACCATGCACCATGCACCATGCATCATGCACCTCATGGTGCTTGCAGGTACGAGCTGCCAGACGATTCACCCCTCCTGCAATCGGTGAGCATCTCATGCTATGGTGTACTAATATGGTTTTGAGACGTCTCAAAACCATCTCGTGCTATGGTGTACTAATATGGTTTTGAGACGTCTCAAAACCATCTCGTGCTATGGTGTACTAATATGGTGCTTGCTTACACAGTTTCCACCCACCCACGCACTCCCTTTAACTCATCTCTTTGTCACCCCGAGCCGAGCCCCGAGTGTGCTTCATTCATCGCTCGTTCGCCACTCACCCACCCACCTTCCACGCCTTCTCATGGCATCACTTTGCACTTCCTGCCAATCCTCTCTCTCTCTGCCTGCTCGATGCCCCTCCGCTCACTCTCGTCCTTCACCCACTATTCCATCTTCCATCTCCGTCACCCCTCTACCTTTAACCCTCTTCCTCTTCCTCTTCTCCCTCCCCTCTTGCATCTCGCTTTTCCGTCTTCTCCCAACACCCCACCCCCTTCCCCCCCCCTCATGCGCTGCGCCCTACCCCACTCATGTGCCAGTTGGAGCCACGTCACCCAGAAGACCGGTGCCCGTACCTGCTTATTCTCTGGGGGCCAGGTATCTACGCTGCTGAGAGAAAGGCACCATTTCTCTTTGCTATTTGGAGATCAAGAAAGTTGCCTTCCATGTTGAGACGCCGATGGCACGGTTCTGCCTTGTTCTTTGTGAATATTTCTGTTTTTTTAGAATTCTAAAAAACTGACGGAGACGAGTCCGTTTCTCCGCCATACGCATGCGATTTGTTTCTTTGCTTTTATAATACTAATTTTACTAATTTATCAGCTATCTTCTTGGTCCCGGTTTCCTTGCACTGTGCTGCTTGCCAACACTCACTCCTCTCCCTGCATCCTGCCTCCGTGACCCCCTGCCTGCCCATCTCTTCCCAGGCGAGACCTTACCTGCCACGCCCACGCTGCCAGAGATGGCCCGGCAGATGGCGGAGGAGCAGCAGCAGCAGCAGCAGCAGCAGCAGCACAGGGGAATGGGAATGGGAATGGGAATGGGAATGCACGCAGCAGGACCAGGGCAGCGGGAAGAGAAGCAGCATCAGAAGAAGCGGACGGCACAAGAGAGAAGGGGTACAGCGGCCGAGGGACCTGGAGGGGCGTCGGGGAAGGTAGGGAAAGGGCAGGGTGACGCAGTGGGACGAAGCAGGGACAAAGAGACCAGGCCTGGGCAAGCAGAGCTCCCACAGATCGTTATTGAAGAGGTGACTGAGACGGATGTGCTACTAGTAGGGGAAGCAGCATCAATAGAAGCAGAAGTAGGTGCAGCCAAGGGGAGAGGATGGGGGGGAAGTTCTGGGAAGGGTACAGTGGAGGAGTGTGTGGAGGGAGGGGGCCGTGGGGATGTGATGCTGGTGGAAGAAGTAGAGGATGAAGACGAGGTGACTTTACCTGGTCAGTCGACTCAAAAGGATGTGGTGCTGGTGGAAGATGTAGAGGATGAAGAGGCGGGGGGTGTGCTGGGATGGAGTGCGAGGGAGAGAGGCGATGACGAAAGTGATGGTGCAGCAGCGTCGAAAGGCATGGGTGGTGGGAGGTCTCTTGGGCAAAGCTGTAGGAGTGGTGCTGCTAGTGGCGGCGCTGGTGCTGCTGCTTGTGCTGCTGCTTGTGCTGGTGGTGCTAGCGACGGTGGTGATAGGTGTGTGGTGACCGAGGGTGGTGATGTGGATGGACGCGTGGATGGAGGCGTTGAAGGCGATGCGCCAATGCTGTTGGAGCACGAGGAGACAGTGCCAGGGACACTGCTGGTGGGTTTGCCCTGCCTTGTCTGCCTGCCTTCCCCTCTGCCTGTGTCTTTACTCTTGCACAGATTTCTTCTGCCTCTTCCTTTCTCCATCTCTCTTGTGTCTTCTTCATTCCTCCTCCACTCCACTCTCAAGCCCATGTTTCATTCATCCCTATCGCTTCTTTCCCACTCCCTCTTCTCCCACAATCTGCCTGCTTGCCTGGCCGCCCGACCCCATCCCGCCCGTCCGCCCACCCGCCCATCCGCCCGGCTGCCTGTCCGCCTGCCTGCCCGTCTGCCTGCCTGCCTGCCGGCCTGTCAGCAGATCCCATGCCGCACTGCAATGCGAGGAAGCTTCCCCTTGAACGGCACGTACTTCCAGAACAACGAGGTGAGCGAAGGATAACCTGCAGAATCAAATAGCACGTTTCTGAATCCCCAAAAATAAAATCCTGCAGAATAAAAGAGCAAGAAACCTTCCCTTCGCAAACGTGCCCGTCCTGCTCTGCCTGCCTGCCTGCCTGCCTGCCAATCCACCCACTCCACCTCCTCTCCATCCTCTCGGCCTTCTCAGACGTGCAGTTCTCACTGTGTATTCTAGATCGACTCAGAATGTCCTCCTTGGACCTCCTCTCCCCTCCCTCCTCCTCCTCCTCCTTCACTGCACCAATCTCCCCTGTTGCTCCTCCTCCTCGAACACTACAGGTGTTTGCAGATGCCGCCACCAGCAAGCAGCCTCTTGTTTTGAGTCGACTCAAAACTAGGCTCCTCCTTCACTGCACCACTCCCCTTTGTTGCTCCTCCTCCTCCAACACCACAGGTGTTTGCAGACGCCGCCACCAGCAAGCAGCCTCTTGCTGTCCCGCGCTCCCTCCTTTGGCACCTCCCCCGCCGCTTCGTGCTCTGTGGCACCTCCATCCCCTCCATCTTTAAGGGTACCCTTCCCATTCCCATCCCACCACCATGCACCCCTTTTTGAGGTTAACCACTACCACCTTGAGGCTTATTCTATACTGATTTCCCTTACGCCACACCTGATTCACCACCTTGATGGTTCACCAACTCCTGTTGTGTGACACCTGATGCACCTCACTCACCTGCTACACCTCACTCACCTGCTACACCTCACTCACCTGCTACACCTCACTCACCTGCTACACCTCACTCACCTGCTACACCTCACTCACCTGCTACACCTGCCCCACCTGCTTCACCTGCCGCGCCTGCTTCACCTGCCCCACCTGCTTCACCGTCTCAAAACCTTGTGGCACCTCATTCTGCCTCCTGTGCTTCCTCTCCTTGGTGCCCTCTCAGGCCTCACAACTCTGCAGGTCCAGTCGGTCTTCTGGCGAGGTACGTCCACACAGCACGGCACCACACAGCACAGCACAGCACAGCACAGCACAGCACAGCACAGCACAGCACAGCACAGCACAGCACAGCACCGCACAGCACAGCACAGCACCGCACAGCATTTCACAGCAGAGAAAATGTGTGTGTAGCACTTGTACCACTCGTTTTCGCAACGCATTGCTCCAACAACACCTCCCAGGCCATCCAACAGGACAAAGTTGCCTTCACGAACATGCATCACGTTTGAGATATCTCAAAAGTGATTCCAACATAGCGGACATAATCTCCTTCACAAGCACGCATCACGCCACCGCTCTCGCTGTCTCAGACAGCACCGTGTCCCTTACGAACAATAGGTCCTTCGTCCCGTACAAAACCTCACACCAAGCCCTCTCCTTCCGTCCTCTCTCCTTTCTCCTCTCTCCTCTCTCCTCTCTCCTCTCTCCTCTCTCCTCTCTCCTCTCTCCTCTCTCCTCTCTCCTCTCTCCTCTCTCCTCTCTCCTCTCGCCTCTCTCCTCTTTCCTCTCTCTTCTCCCCTCTCTCCTCTCTCCCCTCTCCTCTCTCCTCTCTCCTCTCTCCTCTCTCCTCTCTCCTCTCTCCTCTCTCCTCTCGCCTCTCTCCTCTTTCCTCTCTCTTCTCCCCTCTCTCCCCTCTCCCCTCTCCCCTCTCCTCTCTCCTCTCCCCGTGTCTCTCCCTCCTCCCATCCCATGTGCTGCACTGCACCAGGTTATGTGTGCATAAGAGCCTTTGACCGCATCACCCGTGCTCCCGGGCCCCTCGTACTGCACCTGCACAGCAGCCCCTCCTCCAAGCTCAAACCCAAACCCAGCAGCAATGGCAACGGCAAGGGCGTTCAGGGGCAGCCAAGCAATGCTAATAAGACCGCCCCGCGCACCCGACCGTAGCAGGACCCTCTGGTGACTTTTGAGGCGCCTCAAAAGTCGTTCAGGGGCAGCCAAGAAATGCTAATACCATAAGACCGCTCCGCGCACCCAACCGTAGCAGGACCCTCTGGTGGTCCACATGTTTGGGGTGTGTGTGAACGTGAATGTGCTGTGAATTGTAGGTTTTAGTTGTTGCTGGTGTGAACCCGACATGATTTGCTGACCAGCAAAACCCTTCCATCAGCTGCGGTGCCTTAAAGGAGTATAACATGCCATTTAGAAAGCTTGCTTTCTTTCATGTAGCAATGGCATCGTCTCATTTCAAATGGGTTTAGTACAATTTGAAATCCAAGCAGCCTATCAGACTAATGTGCTAACACATTTCAAGGGGTGGGTGGGCGGGAAAATCGGCTAAACCGTTTGAAAATGAGAGACGTGGGTGGAGGGAAATGACCTCCAGCCCACGTTTTGTACTCCAAAACGGGCGTTTAGCGCGGTTCGTCGCTGCCCATTCCTACATTACAGACTGCTTCGCTTTCAAAATACGAAATTTTGAAAAGCGTTACACTTTTAAAAATATTCATATTTAGAAAGCTTGCTTTCTTTCATGTAGCAATGGCATCGTCTCATTTCAAATGGGTCTTCTGAGACATGTGCAGTGGAGGTTGTCGTCGTCGCATCAGAGCCGCTGAGTGTTGCACTGGTGATGAGGCTCGTGCCGGGTCTTGAACGTGTCGAGACGCTTCGACCAGTTGATCGACCGCCGGGGTGATGTACATCTCCTTGGCAGTATCGCTGCGCGACCGTCCCAACTGTTTCAAAAAGCGATCTGGTACTCCTGAGTTGGCGGAGCCATGTGGCTGCGCCTTTGCGAAAGGAGTGGGTGCCGAGATGCTCGAGACCTAAGCCGATCTTTTGGAATGCCTCCTTGCACCAGTTGCGGATTGTTGTGTAGGATGGTGAAGTGGCGGCAGTGCCGAGACTCGTGGTGTCTTGACCGAAAACTCGTATGAGCGGGCCTCTTTGTGCATGGTTGTATCCCGCCAATTGGATGAAGCGCTTGGTGCACCGTACGGGGCAGAAGGGACCTGAGCTTGCTGCTACTGGAACCCATGCACCTTCTCCTGCCTGGTCAGTCTTTGAGCGGGGAATAAAGAGCCACATGGCGTCTTCCTCGAACTGGATGTCGTGCCACTTAATTTCGACGAGGTCCGAGTAGCGTAGAAGGCCGGCGTACATTAGGATTGGGATGAGTCCCTTCTGGAACTCGCCGGGGTTGTTTGACTCCGGGTATTCCAACGCCATTTCGTGGACTTGGTGCAAAGAGATGGGCTCTTTGAGTCGTCGGGGGTGCGGGCAATGTCGCTTGGCGAATTCCCGCACTTGGCATGTGAACGGCCCAGTTGATGGGCACGGGGCCCCGATCATCCGATGTGCGAAGCGGACTGTCGAGCATGTCAGTTGTATCACTGATACTGTGGCTTTTTGTTGAATCGCATGGACCAGGTATAACGCGAGCGTCTGTGCATGGCAGAAACTGTAGCTTGACTCGTTTGCAGAACGCGCGGAACTTGGCCCAGTACGGCTCGTAGGTGCGAATCGTAGAGTCGGCCCGTGTTTGCGCAGTTATATGGAGCAATTCGTGCTTGAGCCTCTCAAGTAATCATGCACCAGGTTCGTGAGAGGTCAGGTAGCGAACGACACTCGGAAAGCGAGAATAGGGCTATGAGGCATTCCTTCGCCAGAAAAGGCACAAGTGTGGGTGCCCGCGGTGAGGCACTGACTCCCATGGGTGAGGTGGATGTGAGCGCGAATGCAAGGGGCCCACTTCGGTGGGGTGGTTTGTAGCAACGGCCACCAGCTTGCCCCTGGCCAATGAGGCACTACGAGCGTGAGCGATGCTCGCGTCCGTTGGGCGTGGTGAAGCACTGCTGGGATGAGGTGTGGTGGTGGGAAAGCATAACCGTGCTCAGCGTTCCATGATATTGAGAAGGCGTCGGTAGCCTCTGCGTCCGGGTGAGGTGTTTTGGAACAGAAGCGGGCTAACTGTGTGTTGCTTGCATTGGCGAATAGATCGATGGAGTGCGGTCCCAAACGCCGCTCAATGAGGCGGAACCACGGTGCTTTAATTGAGTAGTCATCTCGATCGATCATCTTGGAGAGTTCGTCCGCGCGTGTGTTGAGCTCGCGTGGTATCCATTCGACCGTCAGGCGAATCCTCGAGGCCATGCACGTTTGAATAATGGCTCTGCATGTTGTGGTGAGACTAGGGCTTCGAGAGCCGCCTTTGCGAAGAATGAAGAATACGCCTTGGTTGTCAGTTCTGGCTAGGACGTGTCGGTTGTGGATCCCTCCCGCGAACGTTTGGAGAGCCCATAGAACTCCTTCCATTTCTCGTTGCGTGCTCGAGGTCCTTGTGAGATGCTCGGGCATTGCTGCATTCGCCTCGGTTCGCCCTCCCGGGAACGTGTCGAGTGTGGCTCCCCAACAGTGTGCGCTGGCGTCCACATGGATCACTGCGTCATAGCTGCTCGGGACGTGGAAGGGGGCGCCATTGAAGTTGTCGAATTCTTGCAGCCAAAACTCGAGTTCCTCGATTACGGCGGGGACTAATGGCACCTTGCTGTTCCATGAAGCGGCCTCCTGAATGGTCTGCAGCAGGTTCTGGCTAAATGCCCGCGCAGTTGCGCCGATGGCAAGTGACATCGAAGCGAGCATGCCAGTGACCCTCGCTACATGGCGGATCGGGACCTTGCGCTTGGCTCTGCCTGCCATGCAAAGTTCTTGAATGGTCGAGCGTAACGATGTACGCCGCTCGGGACCAATGGAGAACTGGCCGTGCTTAGTATCCAGTTCGACACCTAGAAAGCGCAGCTGCTGGGTGGGTTGCAGATGAGACTTCTTAGAATTAATGACTAGCCCCGCCTTGTTGAGGTCCTCCACCATCATCTGACACGTAGTTCGAGCCTCTGCTTCCGTGTGACACAAAAATATGATGTCGTCAACGTACGGGATGACTCGTACCCCGAGGGCCCGCCAGCGGCGGGCGAGCTGCTTGATAAGTTGCGTGAATACAAATGGGGCCGTCGCGAGGCCGAAAGGGAGGGAACGAAAGACGTATGAGCGCCCGTCGAATTGGAATCCCAGGTACTTCCAGCATGACGGATGGATGTCGACGTGGTGGTATCCTGATTTGAGGTCGACAACGAACATCCAATCGCCTATGCTGACGAGCTCCGCCACCCGCTTCAATCCCTCGTACTTGAATTTGGGGATGCTCAGATAGTCGGCACTTGTCTCTTTGAACCACCACATTTAGTGGACTGATGCAGAGCTGTTGGGATCCGGGGGCGATAATGGCCGCACCACTATCAAGGAGCTCGAGTATGGCCTGCTTGGTGAACTTTGAGTGGATTAGTGCTCCCGCGTGGTTGTCTTTCTGAAACGGCGTGGGGGGCCCATGCTTCCATGGCATCCAATAGCCATTTAAAACCACCGAGAGTATGAAGCTACTCTCGCACCATGAGCTCCACCAAGGAAATGCTGCGCGCAGGCGTCCGCGCATGGTCGTGACGAGCTTGTCGGTGATCGCGATCTCGTACGGGTCATACTCAACCATCGAGCCGATACCCGGTGTATCTGTGGACCATGGGGTTCGGGGCAGCATGGGACATGCTTCGTTAAGCAAGGTATGCGGCAATGTAGGTCCCCCGTGAGGTTCTCACTCTCGCTCTCTCTTTTTCTCTCTCTTCCTTTCTCTCTCGTTGTTGTCGTTGTTGATTTTTTTTTTTTTTTTTTTTTTTTTCATGAGTCCGTTTGCCTGATTGCATGCACTTGGGTGTTCCGCCCTGTGCCTAACATGTGGTGCTCGTAGGGCAGCTCCTTCTTTTGCTCGGTGAGCTCATCACGGTGAACATCTCGCTCGTGCTCTTCCTTCCTCCCCCCTCTTTTTGTTTGTTTGTTTGTTTGTTTTTTTTTTTGCATGATCATGCTTGCCGTTCTCCAGATTCGTTGGATAGCCGTCCTGGCTGCCGTCCCCTTCTTAAGACCATGGAAACCTTGCCTTGCGTCTCGGGCTCCTGGCTTAGTGGGAACAAAAAACTCCCTCCCTTCGTAGTTTTCTCTCTCGCTTGTTTTCCTCTTTCTCTCTCTTGCTCTTATTCTCTGGTTTTTTTTTTTTTTTTTTTTTTTTTTTTTCAGAGGCTTGTGGCTGGTCCCGTTGCAGCTTCTTACACACGTTGAAACCAAGGGCCTTAGTAAGTCACACAAAAAATCACCGTTTTCACAAACATAGCCCATTATGCATTCCGAGCCCTCAATAATGCACACAAGAAATCCACCATTTCATTAAATGCTTTACTCTAGGACTCCTAGTCCTATCCCCTTGCCTTGGGGTTGGCCCGCGGCCATTCTACCATCCCCTACGGGAAAACGGCCAGCGGCCTTGCACTCCCTAGTGCTACCTTGATCATGCCCCTCGACACCGGGTGATTGCCCTTTCGGGAGTTCACACCACCGGTGCGGGCCCTTGTGCTCCCACCCCATTTTCAGGGCAAGCGTTGGCCATGTGTCCCGGCTGCCCGCAGCGGTAGCAAGAGCCTCGAAAGCTCCTGCCGTTGCCATCACTTGGCGGGCCACGCTTGTTCCCAAAGGCCATGGGCCCACGCCCTCCGCCGCGTGGGGCGCGATTGAAATTTCCTTGGGCGCGCTCCATGGCCGCTACGTCCGCGACGGCCTGCTTGAACGGGCGAGAAGTGAAGACGCTCTTGTCTTCATAGAGCTTGAACCTGTTTGCTGTGCGGAAGTTGGTGTAGTCGGCGACGTGAAGTAACTTAAAGCGGTTGGTGATGAGCGTGAAGGCTTCGCCAAGGAATTCGAGGGCGCTTGCCGGCTCGTTGTGCCGCACCTTGTGCTCTGCATGCTTCAAGTAAGCCCGCAGGTGTTCCAGGACCTCGGCTTGCTCGCGCACGGCGGCGTTCTTGAACGAGGCGGCGGTGATGGTGGGGTTGGGAGAAGGGAGCGGAGGGAGTTGCTCATCGGATGCAAAAGCGACATTTACAGCATGAGCCTCACCGTCTTCGTCTTCTTCATTGTCGCTGTCGGTGGGGTTGTTCATGACTGGGGTCGCAATGGCGCGTGTGTCTTCGCCCCTTCCGGTTTTTGTCGTGCGAGCGCGCTTCGCGGACTCCGTTTTCGCCTTTTCGCTTTTAGCAGAAACCGAAGTTGCGTTTGGTGTAGCGATTTCTTCAGTAACAGCAGGGGTCTGCTGCTGTAACAGGGTCAGCAACTGCTGCAGTTGGGCTGCAGTGAATGACGTCGCCACTTGCGCGCCCGTCGCCACTTGCGCGTGAGGCCCCACAGGCGCGTCAGGGCCCACAGGCGCGTCAGGGCCCACAGGCCTGCGTCGCTGGCGCGGACGCGGGGTGCCAGCCGCGCTGGTTGGTGCCGATTTGGCGCCTTCTGTCGTGGCCGGCGCGTCAGGGGCCACAGGGGCTCGAGGCACACTAGGGGCGTGTGCCTCGACACCAGCAGCGTGTGCCTCGGTCGCGCCCAGCAGGACGTCGACGCCAGTCGGGGAGATTTCCCCGTCTTCTGCCCGGCGCTTGTTTGGGCGATCGCCCGCGATTTCGCGTGCGTTTCTTGCGGACTCGGGTCGAGTGGGGGCCGTAGCGGTATTAGACTCCCCGCCGTTAAGTGCCATAGTTGTTGCGTTGTGCGCGAAAATGTCAGAGAGTAAAGTCGACGGGGATTGAAAGCGAGGAAGAGACTTGGTCCTCGCCAGCTTGAGTGTGGGAGACGAAAATCGGCTAAACCGTTTGAAAATGAGAGACGTGGGTGGAGGGAAATGACCTCCAGCCCACGTTTTGTACTCCAAAACGGGCGTTTAGCGCGGTTCGTCGCTGCCCATTCCTACATTACAGACTGCTTCGCTTTCAAAATACGAAATTTTGAAAAGCGTTACACTTTTAAAAATATTCATTTTTATTTTACCGTACCAGTATTTTCTATGGTGCTGGAGCTGGGCAATGGAATAAATGACAGGCAGGCACAGCCCACCACAGAGCAAATGGGTCCAATCCAAGCCAGGTCTTGGTCACCATGCCAGCAAGAGTAAAGGAGCAGATGCCAACAAGAGGTAACATCATAACACTACACACTTTGCTATCCAGCTTTGCTCTGCAACAAGGCTCTCGCGCTGCAGAAACGGCAATGGAGACAATTGGCGATCGTCGATTCGCGATCGGCTATCCAACCACGGGACGGGCACATGGAGCAGTGATGCGCAGAGAGTGCAGCCACACACACCCATCCCCACGCCACTTCGTCATCATAAGACCCGCTTCCAGTGCTGTTGCTGCTGCTGCTGCTGCTGCCGCTGCTGCTACTTTTGAGATGTCTCAAAACACGCCTCTCCCCTATCAACAGATATCATCTTCGGAACTAGCGGACTCCTCATTCCCCACCTCGTCATCATCGTCGTCGTCATCAGACCCACTCCCACTGCTGCTGCTGCTGCCGCTGCTGCTACCACTCCCGCTACTACTGCTACTCCCACTCCCACTGCCACTCGCAGAACTACTGCTCCCATCAGACCCTTGCTGCTTCAACGGTGTCCCAGTCTCAGTTACAGTCCCAGCCCCAGACGCAGGTGCATCCCCTGCTGCCTGCTCCTCTTCCTCCTCAACCTCGATCTCCTCATATTCCACCTCCTCCTCTTCCTCCTCCCCACCAACCCCCAGCTCAATCTGCTCAACACCCGCTGCCTTGTTTGTGTAGAAAGATGAGGAACCAACTCCCGAAGAATCCCGAGATGTTAACCCGGAAACAGAAGAACCAGTGGCTGTGTTCGCCCATCCTGCACCATCACCCATCCCTCCTCCTCCTACTCCTCCACCACCAGCAGCAGCACCAGCAGCACCTCTGCCCATCTCTCCACTGTAATCTCTCGACTTGCTACCATGGGCAGCGCCTGATGCACCCACCCCCTCGCCCGCACCTCTTCCTCTACCGCCTGCGCCTGCTCCCCCACCAGCAGCCGCCTTGCTCTCCCGAGCAGCAGCTGCAGCGGCAGCAGCAGCGGCCACTGCGGAAGACAAGGAGCCTGGCATGGCACCCGCCTCGTTCCCTGCCGCCGTGTCCGCTGCTGCTGCTGCTGCAGCAGCAGCGTTGCCTTTTTTGCGCTTGGCTGCTGCTGCTGCTGAGGCTGTTCCGTCACGCTCTGCATGAGACACGACACGGCAAGGCAGTGGAGACAGGAGGGAGTGGCGTTTGATTCGACTCAGAACAGGACAGGACAGACCGGGGGGGGGGGGCGGATTTCATTGAGAGCACGAGCAAGGCGCTGGAGGAAGCCATACAAACAGGGAAGAGGAAACACAGGCATGCACCAAAAAAAAAAAGAAAAAAAAAAGGAAGGAGGGTGGGGGGGGGCACTGGATACCCTTGTGCATGGATACTGCTGACTGACACTACAAAAGGCGCCACTGGAAGCATATGGCAAAAGAGAGTGTCACCTCGTGGCTTCTTCCCTGCTTGCCCTGCACCACCTGTCTCTCCGCCACCATCCCCGTCCCTGCTCCCATGCCCACCTCCCGCGCCGCCAAACCCCTTCCCCTCGTCCAAGTTCAGATTCCACCCTCCTCCGCCTCCTCCTCCTCCGCTTCCGAAACCCGCGCCTCCCTTATCTCCCCCGCCCGCTCCCCCTGCTCCACCACCCGCCACCCCCCCCGCGTCCGCCCCCACTGTGCCCGCCGTCCCCGTGGGCTTCTCCTTGGCGAGGCGGATGTGGCGCAGGTTGCGCACGGCGTAGTGCAGGCGCTCCAGGCGGAAGGAGCGCCCGTCGAAAAGGACAAGCCCCTCCTGGTCGCGACACGGGTCCACGTGGCCCTCGAATTCCAGTGGCGGCTTCCCCGGCTGGTTGTTCGGAAGCTCCACCCCCACCTTGCTCTCCCCGCGGCTCTCCCCGCCCCGCCGCAGCGTGCCTGGGCGCGCGGAATCTATCGACGCGGGCTTGAACTCGTCTGCACGGAAGGGGAAAGGGGAATGGGGGGGAAGGGGGCGGGGCGGGGGGGGGGGGGGGGGGGGGGGGGGGGGGGGGGGGAGGGGGAACGTGAGGGGGCCGAGGGAAACGGAAGGGCCTCGCTTTCCTGTTTACCCCTACCACCGTCTTCGGACAACGAATTCCACCCACTAGGTACACAGTTCAGAGAGCATCCCCGTTATAGGCGCACGCGCAAACGCACATCGGAGCGTGTAGTACTGGACGGGCGCGTTGGGGCGGAAGGAGTCCCCCAGAACGAGCGGGTACCACGTCTCCTCTGTCGGAGCTGACTCCGCGCCCGGCACACTCGGCCGAGCCATCGTGGAGCTGAGCTGCGACGCGAGATGTGAGGGGGGCTATACGTGACTAAGCGACGGTTTATGAGAGCAGGATTAACTCGAACGTGAGAGTGCCACGGCAGGGACTCGTGGCAATGCTGTTGTGTCGGGGAGGAGACGCGTAGATGCGCGAAGAACTGGGGCAGGGTGATCAGGGTCGTGGGAAAGTGCTTGTGATGGGTATTCAAGGTTGCAGTGGCTGGCTCTGCCTGACATGTACCGTAGAATGGCTTCATAACAAAAAAACTAGCCAATCCATGCCCAACTATGTCTGGCAAAAAGGCACACGCTACCCTGTTTTTCGGCAAAGGCACACTTAGCTAGTGCGATGAAATACTGAGCGCTTTTCTTTTTCTATTGACATAGCTCTTCGCTGTTCTTCATGCTTTGGTACATTCGAATGGTTCTTGTTACTAGTTTCGTGAATTCAGTAAACTCTTAGCGTGTATGCTAGATATGTGGACAGTTGAGCACAACCAAATTTTACTTACACAGAACGGCCCACAGCGTGTACGCCCAAGTTCCGAGCATCCCCTGCCTGCTTTTCCCAGCCTGCACCCACCGCTTGGTCTGGTAACTAGCGGGGTTTGGTTGACGCTGCAGAGGCTTGTGACCCAACCGAATTGTTTCGAGGGTAACCACATACCACGTGATAGGCTGGAGGGAACTCCCGAACAACAAACCGCCGCACCTGCCCTCGTGTTCCACTGCCCCCACGAAACCTTGTTCTGTACCCTACCCAACCTCCGAATATATCTCAGCGGACAAGCGAGTCCGCCCGGGGGAGCTCGCTGCCCGCGGGCGAAAAAATAAAACCCATTCAGGCATGCATCCGGTCACGGAGGCATCAACCCTAAACGCAGGGAGGCAGAGATTTAGGGTTGATGCTGTCATAATGTTATATTGCTTACTTTGTGTAGGCTATAGTGGGGTAGCTCATAAGGGGTACAACCCAATTAGGGTTAGTACTTGTACCAATTTTCTGCTCAATGCAATCTATTCTCGTTTGTTAGTTTGACATGGTATCAGAGCGGTCTCGGGTTCGACTCCCGGTGTATGCACATGTAGGTCATTGCCGCTGTGCTCAGTCCTGGGCCTCCCAGTGTGGGGGGGTGTCAGTAGATCTGCACTGTGGATGCCTGATTGATCCTACGGGGGGTTACAGGCAGGGCTGATTTTATCAGGGTAATTACCCTAATTTCAGGGTGATTTCAGGCTTTCCACTTCGTGGAGACTGAAATTTCAGAGTTATTGAATTTCCAGCCCTGATCCAATCAGAGTAATACTTTAGCTATCCCTGATTTTGAGTACAGCGTAACAGACTAGGCTGTTAGTGGACCCTGACTTAACAGAGTATCGACTGTGTGGACCCTGACTTATCGAGAGGAAGTTTCTCGGAAGTTTCCTTCCGATGACCCCGCCTTGGATTGATCGCAGTGATCCCCCCACATGTGCGTAATCCCCCCCCTTCCCGCTTTATCGAGACGAAGTTTCTTCGAAACTTCTTTCTGATACACCTACCATCGAGATCGCGTGAATCTGCAATGTCAGATATACTTTGTTGGGATTGGTCGAAATAGGCTCTGACAGCGGAAATCTGCGACTCGAACAGGTGTGACTCGCCCGTTCGATCGGTACACTCGCTCCAGAAGGAACGCCTCTGAGGGTGACTAACTACAGTCGCAGCGTGTCTGATGCATGCCAGCTGAAGAGATCCAATTGGGCATGGTAATAAGACAGGGATGTGAGAGAACAAGTAGAACGAGGAGCCATAGCTAGGTAAGACCTAGCTAGGCAAGAGAAAGTTTAGGCAAAAGAAGGGGGTTTTACTAGCAGCAGTTGGGATACATATAGCAAACCCTAGTTGGGTTGTACCCGCTATAGAGCACCCCACTACAGGCTAGACAATAACATTCTGACAAGGGAAACGTTACACTCGCACACCAGATAGGTCAATCACACCCGCCCTGCACAAATCAGTCGAGTGTACAGCCAGCAGGAAACACAGCGCGCAGACTTTATGGAGAGTGGGGATATTTTCCCCGGTAACAAAGCGCGCGTTACTACTCTGATGTTCAGTTCTCGACCCTGAACAATCAGTGTTAACTACTTTACAACCCTGAGCAATCAGGGTATTGCTTTTCTGGAAAATGTGCACCCATAATAGAGGGGGAAAATTTTTCCCGGAATCAGGGAAGCTTAAAATGAAACGTCAGCCCTAGTTACAGGCGCGTTCGCCTGGGGGGTTATGGGCGCACAAACCCGCTACACAAACAAGCCCTTTTATCCCAATGGTCTAGTGGTTGGGATTCCGACAGATGCCTCCCTCGGGTGGCATGCCATCTGATAGGGTTTTAGTTTTTTTTCTGCCCGGGGCAGCATGTCGTCGAATCGTCAATGGGTCGTCAGGCTTGACGACCCGATTTCGCAGGGATATTCCGACTTGTTTCCTTCATGACCGCCAAAGCTGAACTGGTCGTTCACCTTGCTTTCCGAGGAAATGACGAACCGCCGTGCTTTCTTGTCTCCAATTCCAACGGGCAGTGGTTTTTACGGGCCTCTTGCCACGCGATCGCGCCCGATTCCCGCGGTCAATTTTTGCCATCCATACTCATTTTGTAGGTTTTTACGATTTTTTTGATCACTGACGGTTTCTGCCCCAGGCGAGAAATACACCTGACTTCCCTGAATAAACATTACGCCACCCAGGAAACACGTTCGGAACAGTGCGAATAATCATTTCGCGCTGATATTTTCCCTCAACCGCGGAAACACAGTACTTGTTTGACGGGTGCACAGTTTTCCCGCCACTAACGTTTTCTGTGTGGCCCGTAACAAGTGTTAGAATGTGAGCGAATGAATGAAACAGAGAAGAGAGAAGAAGAGGGGTTTCACTAGCAGGCAATTGAGTACATATAGCAAACCCTAAATTGGGTTGTACTCGCTATTGAGTACCCCACTGCAGGCTAGACAATATAACATTCTGACAACAAGCACACGGATGGCCCGTATAACAGATCGAACGGCTCAGATCGCAGATTTTTGTGCGCGTACGGTTTTGGGGGACAGAAAATCCACTCCCGCCCGTAGAGGTCTGACGACTGGCCCGTGAAGCAGTTCTGGAGGTCCACATCGCAGCGATTCGATCGAACTGAATTTCCCGCGTTTGAATTCACATTTGCGCGAAAATAACAAGGCTATCATGGTTGTTCAGTCATCTACTCACGGTTGTGTCCATTTCGTCTTCACTGCACTGGCCGATTTGGTGGCCCTTTCGTAAGTACCAAGCTCAGCCATTAGTTGCGCCACTATCGTTTTACTCCTCAATAGCTGCCATGTCGGAACCCAGGGTGTCAGAATGTTATAGTGCTTACATTTGTATAGGCTATAGTGGGGTAGCCCATAAGGGGTACAACCCAATTAGGGTTAGTACTTGTACCCAACTATTTCATAGTTCATTCATTCTCGTTCGTTATTCTGACATGGTTTCAGAGCAGGTCCTTCGTTAGGACCGTTTTTTTGGGCCCACCACAGCGCTGCCCCACTAGCCGCCCCTAGCGACCCTCGTGCCACACCTACTGCCCCTCGCGCCGCCCTCGTGCGGCCTGCCCGTCGCCCCTAGGCCCCGGCCCGTCGCCCGTCGCCCGTAGGCCCGTCGCCCCTAGGCCCGTCGCCTCGGCCCGTCGCCCCTAGGCCCGTCGCCCCGGCCCGTCGCCCCGGCCCATCGACCGTAGGCCCGTCGCCCCTAGCCCCGGCCCGTCGCCCCGGCCCGTCGCCCCTAGGCCCGTCGCCTTGGCCCGTCGCCCCGGCCCGTCGACCGTAGGCCCATCGCCCCTAGCCCCGGCCCGTCGCCCCTAGCCCCGTCGCCCCGGCCCGTCGCTCCTAGGCCCGTCGCCCCGGCCCGTTGCCCCCCCTAGGCCCGTCGCCCCTAGGCCTGCCGCCCCGGCCCGTCACCCCTAGGCCCGTCGCCCCGTACCGTCGCCCGTCGCCCCTAGGACCACGGCCCGACGCCCGTCGCTCCTAGGCCCGTCGCCCCAACCCCAGCCTGTCGCCCGTCGCCCCTAGCCCCTAGGCTCCGGCCCGTCGGCCCTAACCTAGGCCCGTCGCCCGTCGCCCCCCTAGGACTCGCGCCCGTCGCCCCTAGGCCCCGGCCAGCCCGTCGACCCCAGGCCCCGCGTGCCGCATCTTGCGGCCCGCCCCTTCGCCTCTGCAGCCCGCGAGCCGCCCTTGCAGCCCCGCGCGCTGCCGCTGGTGGCCCCCTAGCCGCCCCTGCTGCCCTGCTAGCCGCCCCTTGAGGCCCTCTCACAGCCGCTGCTGCCCTGCTTGCCGCCCCTCTCTGCTGCCTGCCCTGTTCCCTGCGCTGCCGGCTTCTGCCCGCCCTGCGTGCTGCGCCACTATGGCTTCTCTCCGCGTTCTAGCGTTTGATCATGAGGGCCGCCCGATCCAATCCGACACGTGGCTTGACTACCTGCAGCTGTACCTACTGAGCGACTCTAGGGACAACGTTTCGTTGTTTGACCACACGTCTGGTGCTGCTCCCGCCCCTCCCACCACAGCTAACAGTGCGACTCGCTCACAGTGGCTTACTTGTGACGCTGCTGCTTGCTTAGCCATTCGCAACCATCTGCCGTTAGCCGAATGCGCTCACTTCGGACAGCAAAGGACTGCACAGGCACTGTACGACGATGTAGTCGCCCGTTACTCCTCGCCTGCCACTGCTGCTCTAGGCCGTCTTCTACTCCCCTACCTGTTCCCCGAGCTGTCCGCCTTTGCCACAGTAGAGGACCTGGTTTCCCACCTTCGCACTAGCGACGCTCACTACTGTGCTGCCGCCCCAGCTGAGTTCCTTGACAGGAACCAGCCCCCGATGTTCATCACTCTCTACTTTATAGTCACCCGCCTCCCCGACTCTCTTCGCTCTGTCAGGGACCACTTTCTCTCCCTTGACCCCACAGTCCTCACTGTTGACCTACTCGAGCAGC